TACTAGCCTCAGAAAGAATAATTTGAGATATAAAGACCTTTTCCCAATTATTCTAGCCTTGTTACATCTATAATCCATTTATTATTAGTAGCAATAAAGGTTTAATCTTTATAAAGAGTAAAATTAATAGAAAACTATTATTGTTAAATATATTTTCTTTCAAAAATAACAAATGATATAAATACTCATCTTATCGTTGAAATATATTTGATAAAAGATATCTAAACTCTTGAACCAGGTTGTTTTTTCTGAATATTTCGATATTAAAAGTTTTCTATTATTAGGTTATTAAGACCCTGACCCTCTATTATACTAGTCTCATCTATATTGTATCGATTTTCAGGTTTTATATCGATAATCTCTAATAATTCAAGTTTTCGAAACTATGATGTAATAATATCATATAGGGCACCTGAAACTCGGGTAAAGTTGATTCTATATTATCTTTTAGTTCTAATCTCTAGATTCCTTTTTAAAAAGTTATATACCTATCGTTTCCAAGGATAGAATCGAGTTCTTTTATATCAAGGAGATATTCCCCAATTTCTTGAATTTGCTAATAGATAGAACTAATACCCAAGCTTTTCTATACTAATATCTATTCCATTAAATGTTTCTCCTAAATCAGGGCAATCTTTTGTATATTCTAATAACTTTTTTGATGGGAGATACAGTTATTGATATGATTATAAAATGTAGTACAAAAAATCCCATAATCCAAAGCAGTTTTTTATATTGAAACATTATTTATGATAATATTTAAAACTGTGGCAACATTGTCTTCAATATAGAGTTCTGATATTATATAAATAATAGTATATCAAAATTTGAAATTGATTAATTGAATAGTTGTTTAATTATAAATTTTTGAAAAGGATAGGTTACTTAGGCGGTATGGGTTTTTAGGGTGGTCTATAAGGGGGGGTGGTCCATATGTGAGGTAGTTGACTTAACCTAAGATTCTGAAGAACAAATGTTTGATATCAATATTATATAATATTGAAAGGGAAATACAGTTTGCTTTCTTTGCTTAGCTTCAGGTCTAGATAGATAACATACCGGTGGTTTCTATTTACATTGGACAGCAAATTGTTCTCTTCAGTAAATCGAGCAATACGTTGAGTGAGGTTTTGAGGAAGGTTTGTTTTGGCTAAAAGAATAAAACGTGATGTGTGAAGTACTCGGGATTGATTGGTGAGTTCAGTGATGTGACGTTACATAAAATGACATGCAACTTGTACTCCGTACCCCATTTGGGACACAATGTGAGGCTGTGCAAGAGTGGCTGGCTAACCCCGCAAGTCATCTTGACTTATTCATTGGTAAAGACCGTTTTTGCAGTAGTGGACCCAAATACTTAATGGGCGACATTTATCTCTCCCCAGGATTATACCTTTCCTGCTTGAGAGCAGCCTTTTCTAGAAAGAAGCCAAAACATGGATATCAAGGCAGGAAATGACTCAGCGGTAAGTAAGGATCAGGACTGTTGTCTACTATACCTAATGATGCATCGACTGACAAATCTGGATAGATGGCTTCAATAAAACCTAATACTTCGAAGAAACTGGGTGAACTGTTCCGAAATACAGGCGAGACAATTGCTTCTATCAGAGTGTCTTCCCTAGTGACCGATAGCACCAATGAGCGTGTCACAATTACAGAGTACAAGCATGTTACGTCCTTCAACTTCTTGAATACAATTCCGCTTACCATCATGGTCCCCGGCTCTCCACCAATATGGTCACCACCCGCTATGCCAGTTAATATACAACCGGATGTGATTAATAGCAAAATGGTTAGGAAAGCAGAACGTCAAGCGCAGAGATCATCGATCGCGCCAGTCTTTGCTGCTCTTTCTGTTAACATTGCTGACACATCTTTCCTCCCATCCACGGATCTCATCACCGATCGTAACAGTCTTCGAAAGTTGCTGGCCTTTGTCAATGGACGTGTTGAGCAAATCTGGAAAATCGATGTCGAGCTGGTGCGAAACACAATGGTCATTACGCAGAACACGGAAGGTATTCCTAGACACCATCCTGGGGGTTACGGTGTTTCATTTGAAAAAGCATTTTTGAAATACTCCGACGAATTCAAGAGAAGCAGAGAGCATAATCGTGTGGCTGTTTACAAAATTGGGGGGATGAATTGGATGGTAGGATTTGAGGTTGACGGATGTTATGGTGTGCAAGGTAGAGAGGGACTTTCACAGAAACTACAAACCTTGAATCTTAATCCGACAATCGATGTGCAAAGTTCAGATGGACTTCAAAAGAGCCCAGACACATTGAACCTTAATCCAAAAACCCAAACAACTTACCCAGGCATCAGGATAATTAAAACAGGAACCGAGATTTCCACTCTTCCTTTATTGGAAGTCAAGACTGCGAAAATGGGAAGATCTCCACCTCGAGCTAAATTGATGCCCCAGCTCTATTTCTCCCAAACAAAACATCTTATTGTGGCAAATTACGACGGAGGAACTTTCGACGAAGCACACATCACTGAAACGGACAAGACCGAAGATATGCGAGAGTGGGAGGAAGAAAACCAGGAGAAGTTGCAGAAATTGTTACATCTAATTAGCAGTATAAGGGATATAGTCAATGGAACCGAGGGAAAAAAAGCAGTGTTGTTGTGCGAGCGAGGAAAGAAGAATTTAATTCGCGTCCTTGAACAAAAAGGGAAGGGGCTTCAGTTAGAGGAAAAGTTTGTAACTCAATTGTGGGGACCGCCGATTATAGGGTAGGGGTTTGATTATCAGGCCTCCGATAAATAATGAGATAATCTGGTTAGGTTTTGAGGGTTGGATTAAGGTATTCAAAGTTTCTGATATTTTGAATTTAAAACTTGATTGACTCAAGGGGGATATAATGCACAACGTCAAACCACACTTCACAACCGGATGATGACTTAATCTAACTAGTAAATGAATGTCTAGCCAACCCTATAAGCTACGCTCCCCTCATCTCATGTCGCCAGTCATTGCATCAACAGATGTCAGATTTTTTTTAAGTTTAGGAACTCATAAACTAACACCATTAGCACGAACCTTGAAATAATCTGACTCCTACACACTCCTATCCAATTAATTGATCCCCGAGTATTAGAATGCACGGGCCTAGTCACTCTCTACTCGTAGACTCCCCTCGCGTAATAAATAACAATTCTCTGGGCTAAGCTTAAATCTTCCCCTTTCCTTTTCTCCTTCACTACACCAGGAAGAATTGCAAAACATGGTAATGCTAGTAGTATACAATACACCACCATGACACCATGACACACCTATCCCATCCCATCCCAACCTCCGAGTCCAAATCACCACCTCCAAGCTCCAAATTCCTCCTAAAACATAATAACTAAAACATAATGTACAATACTACAATACAATACAAACTACCAACTCAATCGAACTCAATCTAACCTAAACATCAACATCACAATCACAATCACAATCACAACACTCAATCAACTATCTACCTAACATTCCAGTCCCATCATCCAACTCCATCATATCATACAACCCCACTCACTCAACCACTAACTCATTCACTCAATTACTCAATCCCCCGCCCCTCTCCCCAACTAAAACCTTCAATCCTTTAATCCTTCAAACCTTCAAAACCTCAAATTATTCCCATCCCCATCCCCATCCTCATCTACCTTCTCATCCTAACTCTCATCCCAGATAATCTATCTATCCATCTATCAGACCCTATTGTCCGCCCCCACGGCAGTGCCCCCCGGAGGGCCAGCGGAGCGTCATGTTATTTTAAATCTCAATTTCAATCCCATTTTCCATTTTTCATTCTCATTTTTCATTGACATTTACGTTCCCTTTTCGATGTACAATTTATAATATGAATAGTGTAGTGTGATTAGTTAATCTATTTTCAGATACTATACTCTCACACGTACCGTGACCAAGTGTTTTCACTTTCATTTTCATTTTTATACACTAATCCTAACCCTAACCTATCTTTACCCTTATCCCCTCTGACCCCATCACCCTAACTCCTTATATACCCTATTCCCCTATCCCACCTCTCTTTAACCACCCTTCTTACCCAAACAAAACAAAACCCCAATAAATAACATCAGTTCCGATCAATCCGATATAATTATTATTAAACTATCACTATTTGTATATATACTAGGCGGGGTTTTAAAAGACATATAGGCGAAAACAAAAGAATCACTACTAGCGTAATTTTATATATTGTCTTACAAAAATTCTAAATATTATTAATTAGCTAATTTTAAGCTTATATATAAGATTAAATTTTAATCTAATATGATTTGGATTAATAATTATATATTTAAATAAAAAAGTTTAAGATTTAGAGCTTTTTATCTTTAAATTCTAAATAAATTATTTATAATATGATTTTGAATAAAATGTATGTGATTATAATAAAACTAGCTCTAAATTTTCGATTAATCATCCCATCTTTTTGAAATATCTAACATTCATATAGATATCATTAATTATAATTCAAAATATCTGAGTTTTAAAAAATAAATTCGTTTAAATCGTTCAAAAAAGTGGTTCTACCTCTTCGAAAATCCTAAAATCCTATATATTTTCGACTTTATTTAATGATATCTAATTCAATTATAATGATATTGAAAAAATAAAATATTGATTCCAATATTGAATTACAGCTTTTATATTTATTAGAATTTCATAATATCAAATTCATTTTCAATAAAGTTATATAAAAATATAATAATTTCAAAATAAATATCAAATTATCGATATTCTATAAATTGAATTGACTATAACTATTTCAAACCGTATTCGTTTTGAATAAACTTTTATATACAGATTATTTTATAAGATATAATGAATTAACCGAAATTTCACAAAATTACATAAAGAAATAAGCTAGTAGTATATATTTTGATTTTCGCCTATGCGTCTTTTAAAACCCCGCCGAGTATATCTACATACCTACACATATACACAGCCATCTCAATTACTCATCTTCATTTCCGTTTCAGTTTTATCTTTTTCTCCGTCTGAATCCATACCTATGCCCACGTTGTTGGAACCAAAAGTTTGTTATCTGCACAATCACTGTATAGTATATACCCCAACCCACGTCTATACGAGTATAACACTTGTTGTACAAAGCATCACCAACTCTCCAATTCACCAACTCATCTACACGATCCACACGATCCATACAATCCACACAATATATTTTTAAAAGCTCGCCTATAGAAATGGTATCATTCATTCATTCATTCATTCAATCATCCTAGTATTGTATATCAACCAACACGCCGCCCATGCATATCCCCACCCTTCCACCCTCAAACGCCCACCCATCCATTCATCCATCCATCCACCTCTCCATCTATTCATCCACCCCTCCATCCACCCAATCAACTTTACGCCCCTCCTCAAAGTTTAAACCTCCCACCTCCTCACCTCCTCGCTCAACTCCTCCCAACATAACATCTATTTCCTAGGCAACTCCCTAAACACCTTCCTAAAGATCAACCGACTATTATACAGATTATTAACTCTGATTCTTTCGTTATCTATTCAAATCATCACTTATTAGCATCCCTTTCATATATCATCTCCTAACCAAATCCCTCCAAAAAAAAAACTCACCTAAATGCGCACTATCGCTCGCCTGCCCACAAGGCAAATGAGCCGCCGGTGCCCCAAACTCTTTTTCTAAGAATCGAATACTAGGAATCGAACCTCCCTCTCTGATATACAACGGTTTTCTCCCTAGTCCTTTCCCCTCTCTACTCTTTTTACCATTTCCATTCCCGCCATTCTCATTCTCATCATCTTCCTCGTTCTCGTTTCCATTCTTTCCACAATCTCTATCCCCCAAATCCAAACTAGCAAGATCCACTGGTGTCGCCGCTAAACTCGTATGATCACTCCCACCCGTCAAACTCGTTGTTGTTGCCGGTGTTGGTTTAAGGCTTGGAGATGCACTAATGGGACTTATAGATGAGTTTTCCTTTTTAGGACCTTGCACGCTGCTTCTCCTCGTATGATCGGTGATGGGGCCCCAAACTTCCATAATAGCCTCCTCCAACGTTCTGAAAATTTCGTTCTCAGGATCGCCGAGCCAGGCATCTGCTTGATTGTCAATATTGATAGTAAGATGGTTATGCGTATCGAGTTTTGCAAAAGCATCTTCGAGGAACTTGGTGAGAGATTTGATGACATCGTCGACTTCTTGATTTGGAACTAGACGAAGAGATATGGCTGCGCTTGCGTGTGATGAAACCAGAGAACCATCTGGCCCTGAAACTTTATAGCGATGGACCGTCAAATTTGGTTCTCTCCATCTTGCCATGATAGATTGTTTGAGATTTTCCGCTGGTCCAAGTTCAGGATTGCGACGGAGAAGTGTCGACACGATATCATCGTATCGAGCTTCTTCAGCTGGGGTTAGAGGGAGGATTTCATCATAGAATCCAGGTATTTGAATTCGATTATGAAGACCCTTTAGCTTGGCGAGGATAGCAGTTAAATCGAAAAGTGGCTCATCCATCATGAAACTTCCATCAACTCCACTGTGAACATCTGGATGATTACTATTGACTTTGATAGTAGCGTGAAGAACACCTCTAAGACCATATGTCAAACAAGGAACCTCGTCATCAAGCCAATAACTATTAGCAAGAATGATATAATCGATATCCCCAATCAACTCCTTGTGTTTCCTCACGGCATCCTTGAAACCTCTTGATCCACTCTCTTCTTCTCCCTCAATCAAAAACGTGATATCAGAATCTAAAGCCTTCTCATGAACCAAATCCACAACTCCATAAAGAGCTGCCATGATTGGTCCCTTGTTATCACTCACTCCTCTTCCGTAAAGATAACCATTAACCCCCTTCATTTGAAATGGGTCAATAATCCATTTCTTCTGCTTATCATCAGCAGGGACAACATCATAATGTCCATAAAACAAAATTTTCTTCCTCTTTCCAGCCGTCTCGGGATTCCCCTTAAACTTGGCATACACAATCGGATTGTGGTGAGCTTCGGTAGTCAGCATCTCAGTAACAGCACCATGTTTCTTGAACAATGTTCTCAAAAACGTAGCACCACGTCGGCAATCTTCGGCATGATCAGGTCTTGCGGAAATTGTTTTGAATGCTACGAAATCTTGCAAAGATTTGATAAGTTGATCGTCCTGAAGTGACTCGCGTTTTGGATATGTGCCCATATCACAACCAGTGACATCCCATATGGAAACAGAACAATCGTTTGCACCAGTGATATAGAGTTGTTGACCACGATAGGTAGTGGCTGCAGAAGCCAAGATTCTCCCTTCGTGTGCTTTCCATCGTTTTACACATTGATACTTTTGGCTGAAATTCGACGAGGTTTTATATTGTCCATATTGTACCGTGCTGTATTTCTGTAGAATGTTAGCCCTTTCTTTCACCTCTCATTGTGTCCCTCATCAAACCCTGAAGAAAAACTCACTCTAGCATGCCCAGTACTTCCCCCACTCCAAAGATACCCCCACCCCATTTGTAAGGTCATGACATCCCCCCTATTTGCCCTAATAACCCTCAACTTCTGTCTCGTATCCAAATCCCACAACTCAATGACCCCCTCCAATTTACTACTATAGAGAAAACTTCCATCCACCGCCAAACTCAATACACTCTCCGCATCATCCTCCCCTAATTTATCAATCTCTTTAATCCCCTCATCTTGATCCTCGCTCAATTTCCATAATTTAATTGTTCCATCTCCCCCACCCGAAATGAGCATATCCTCATCAGCATCGACTTGTCTGCAGACGCCCCGAACCATGAGCATACAATACACATAGCCAAAATGCGCATATTGTTTCATATGCGCCTTATCAATCTCCAACACGTCTCCTTGATCCGCCGCCGCTCTCCCCGCTTGTCTCGGTCTCGGTGTAGACGTCCCTCCATGCTGCACACTATCAAAAAAACGATGATTCCTCCTATCTGGGTGACGTTCTGGATTTGGCGTAGGTCTCGTCGCGGAATCCCTCAAGCTCACCCATTGTATACTCGTATTTTGCGCTCCTAAATATACCGTCTCCAATTGCGGGGAATATGCCACGGAAAATACATCGCCGACATCGTAGGTACTGTAGATATGATATTTGCGGACTAAAGTCGTAGGACACCATGCATTGACAATAGCATCGCCGGCAGATGAGAATAGTAGCTTGCCATCTGCGGATAAGAAGAGAGAGAGTACGCTGCGGGTATGTGCTTGAATGCGTGAAACGAGTTCGTAGGATGCGAGGGACCAGACTACGATCTCTCCATCTTGAGTACCGGCATATACGTATTTTGATCCGACGGCGAGAGTGAGGATTGAAGAATCGTTTTGAAGGTGGTGTAAGAGTTGAGGACGGGAAGGGTCGAGATCATCTTCAGAGCTGGTTCTTTGGCTAGGATCGTGGGAGGAGAGGTCAATTTGTTCATTCTCATCTTCGGTGCTAGCTGAGGGATTGTTAGTTGATGATAAGATGGGACTGTTTGTTTGTGAAGCTGTAGATTGAGTATTTGGATTTCTTGAACCAAAGATTGAGGTCATCTTTTATTTTTGGTTAGAGGAAAAGGGTTGGGAATGGGGGAAGTTAATTGATGATTGCTGGGTTTCTTTCAACCCCGAATTTCATCTTATCTGATCCCTGATTTTTTGGTGGTGAACCACAACTATTCAACTAAAGGAATCTGATAGGAATACAAATCGAATAAAAATCGAATACAAATCAAAATAATAGAGATTTTTCACACTCACCATGACTTTCAATATCACTCTCTTCTTCTTCTTCTTCTTCTTCTTCTTTTTTTCCCCAAATTTCAATTGTTTGACTATCACCACCCACAACCCTAACAACACCAACATCACCATCTTCATCACCGTCACCGTCACTCACAATATCCTTATACTTTTCCTTCTCCTTCTCCATAATCAAATTCATCCTCACACGGTTATTTCCACCTCTCAAGATCTAATTGTCTAATTGTTATTATACCGATATATTCGTATTCCTAGGTATCCGTATGTATTGCTTGAATAACCTTTCTCTGTCTACCAGGTGTGTTTATAAGTATATCAACTCTCAACTACCGAGTAAGAAACCCCTTATGATAGAAAGCGGTATCAGATCAGCTCACCTCAATCACACAATCCAATAGGTTCATTCAATAACATTCAATAATAACATCACCCAGATCCAATAATTCGCAATATCGCATAACCAATCATCACTATGGCGCCTTTCTTTCAATGTTGATCCTATATTAATATGATAGAATAGTGCTTTATGATTACTTTTTGATGTCTAATGCCAATATATCCCTTTACCCCTTTCCCCAACAATGATGACTAGAAACACACTCGACGTTAGTTTATATGTCTAATGCCAATATACCATATCATGTTGGTTGGTGTATTCAATCGATTCGCATGCTGCAGTACTGCCTGTTACTTGCCCGGATCCGAAATCGTGCCACTATTATAATAATATCCTGCATCTCCATCTTCTTTATTACCGGTAGATGAGGTACAAGTAGTAAGTACCCTTTACCTCACACCATGCCATGTACTGTACATCATACATCAGACCTTATACCTCATACTCTGTACCTCATACCTCACAAACCCAGTACCTCATATTTTACACCTAGTACCTCACCCAAGGCATATAAACATTCACGAAAACACGGGGACATCGTTGACTTATTGACTAATTGTTGCTGTTGCTGTATTTTCTTGTTGTATTCATTACTGGTGCGAGTATATAATAGTGTCATTTGAATCGGTTCGATGTTTGAACTTATTTACTTATTTCTTTATTTCTTTCAGTCTTTGGTGTGATGTGATGATTTGCTGGCTGTTGTTTGATCCGAGTGATTGTATGGTTAGCGAAGGGGTGGTGGGTGGCGAGTGATGGGTGAGTCAATTTGGATAGGATTTGCTCAAGAAGAAGAGAAGAAAGAAGAGGAGTCAGATAGTGTCATGAATGATGATGATGGTGGTGATGGTAGTGAGGTAGGTAGTAGGTAGTCATAATTATCATTATTGCTGTTTGTAGGTATCGTATCTACTCGAGTGTAGAGGTATCCTACTCGTATATAAACCATCTATCTCTCTTCCACATCATTCATCTAAATGGTCTTGTCAACTACAAAACGACATCCAATAATCTCATTCATCTTCCCAAATCAATACTCATACCAGTATATCCCTCAGAAAAGAACCCTCTAATCTAGCCAACCCCTACGAACGATACACCCCCAACTTGCCCCCCATGGAAACTCCGCAATCATCCCCAGCACCAAAATTATCCCAACACCCCGATCATGCTTGCCCTCCCCGACGCATAAGTCCCTGTTTCCGAATGGAAAACCCAGATGGTTCATACACCTACTTGAGAGTATGTGAGGACTCCGCATTTGAGGATGAGACACCCAGAATACGCGTCCCAAGCACCATTCCTAATGACATACAAAACCTGGATTCTGGATTGCCTTCCTATAATTGGACTCCACGAGATGATCAATCCCCTATCGGTCTATATGAATTTCGGGATGATCGTCACACTGGTCAAAATGACAAGGGGAAGAGTGTACCATCGCCGCCACCCTCCTCTTCATCCGACAACCTCAATTCCCCGATGGAAAAGGAAATCAACGACATTCCCATCAGCGACATAAACCTAGTAGCCGACGAACTCCACGAGAGAATCAATTCACTCGAAGAAGATATTGCAGAACTGGTAAATCTCACTGCATACTGTCTCTGCAGTTGCCATGGATTGATTCCAGGTCGTCCTGTAACGCCACAGCTAGAGAATATCCGTCAAAGAAGTCAACCGAGATCATTTTCAAATCCAAAAAATGATCGGGATGAAAGAGGCGGCCCTGGACCTTCCACATCAGTGCTAGAGGAGAGAACTCGGGGTGTGGAGGACTCTTTGAGACGGATTGCGTTAAGCTTGAGGGGATTGGATCTTAGTGATAATCGGAATTTTCATACTCTTCTTGAACGCAATGAGGATCTGGGGCGTCGGCTCTAGGAAAGGCTAGAATGATTAGGGAATCGTCGTCGTCGGTTGATGATGTAGGAGGGATGGAAGTTAGTGTAGTTTGATGCGTCTAAAATGGATGCTGCCGTGCTTTGCATCTGCTTCCTTCAATCGTGTATGATCCTTGACGTCCGTTGGCCTCGAGCTCGTAACAATCAGAACCTATCACTCATATCCCCGAATCTCAAATATCTTTCCAAATCCCAATCTCAATCCTAATCCAAACCCCTTCACTGATCTCTCTCCCCCTTATCTTCGTCCTTCCCAGGCCACAAAACCTGCTTCAATACCACAGCCCTAATGTGGCACGCCAAAACCAACAGCCAAACAATAACCAAAATGATCGTCAACGCACTCCCCACCCAGAGCACCCCTTCACTTTTAAACGCCGTCCCAATATCAATAATGACAATCGTAAATCCCACGTTCGGAAAAACAAAGGAGTACCAAACAAGATGAAAGCTCATCTCCCTCACACCCGCCAAAACCGACACTAGAGAAATACAAAAAAACCAAAAGGCTGTCCCCCACAAAAACACCGCCGCAGACACCGCAATAATGCGAAAGATATCCGCGATGATCTCCGGATGCTCAACCGACGAAATAGTCGAATACGCCGGATAAATCATCGCAAAATTCTTACTCATCCCCAACAACGCCAACCCAGTAAAACTCGGCGGTCCCACAGCAATAAACATTCCAGGCCGCGTATTCGGCTCCGGCAATCCATATGTCATTAATCTCCCCAAAAAAGGCCCATACATGAATACCGCAACCAGGATTCCCAACCCTTGAAACGTGATTCCAGCAACGAGGATCGGCAGCGCATTCTTGGGAGATTGAGAGCCGCTGATGACGGAAGCGAGGGTTCCGCATAACATGACGGGGAAAATGGGTAGGATCCAGGCGGGCGTCATGGATTGAAGCGTTTGCTGTTTGGCGGAGAAGAGGTAGCAGTATTGGCCGACGGCGCTGGAGAAGGTCAGCGCAGTGTAGATCCAGAACAGCACGCGCAAGGCGCTGATGAGCCAGGGTCCGCAGTGTGGAACGCCGTACTTTTGGATGTTGGCGAGGATGTTTAATAACGATATGAAGAATGTGGGGAAGAAGAGGGATTCGGTGGGATCTGTGAGAGATGTGGCGAGTGCTTTGGGGTATAGGATGAATCGTGCGGTTATTCCAGTGCATAGGAGGAGGAAGAGACAAAGATCAAAGATGAAGACAATGTCCCCGAGAACGGTTAAGCCTCTAAATCTATGTGGTGTGTTGGAGAGTAAGAGGGCAATTCCTCCAGTGCTCATGGTGAGTGTAAACCATGCCCATGTGAAATGATGGATTCTCATTCGAAAGGTAATTTTTCCATTATTGGCGATGGTTAACTTTTCGTTTTTAGAATCAGCAGCATCGCCACTGTCTTCGAAGGTATTGTCGGTTTGTTCTTCAAGAGCAGTCGTGGAATAGATTCGTATTGTGTCGTTGATTCGATTGGGGCGTTGAGTTGACATATTGACGGTTGGTGGTTTGTTCGTGAGATGATGGGAAATCACCAGCAAGTGAATGCTAGTGAAAACAGCAATATTCTCAGTCCAAATATAAGATTCCAAAAGAGAAGTCGACAACTGGTCGTCATCATCCTTATGTATACGAATATTAAATACTCGTATGTTGAATCAACTTATCCGACAAAAGTCATACCTGACGTATGAGAACCCCTCCAAATAGTCGTGCGTTATAGCTGATTAATCCAAATCCTACTCTATTCTAAAGTTTCTGAATGGTTGGATATATTCATCCGTATAGATTTTACGGGATCGAGGTCGGTTAATTAGTCTTGGCTGGATGGGCCCATATATCGAAAGTTGGTTTAGAAACACTAGAAGAATTGAAGAATGAATTAGTAAAGAATGATGTAACCATCTCGAGACGACATATAAATTCAAATTTAATGCAGAAAATTCTCTGCTTGTTGAAAATCTTTCAAAATTTATAAGACTAGGTGGGAATTTCCGGCAATTTCATTCGGTAAACCATTTATCCCCGCTATGCGCATATCCGTACATTTCCGATCGGATCCTATCCCCGACCCTCACTTATCGCCTCAACGAAGCTAAAAAAAAAATTCAACCACAGCTCAAGACTTTAACATACTCATCGCCTCATAACTAACATCAAATTGCCTCGTTTTCCTCACCCTCTATCTCGCAAACTAAACTCCCCATCACCATCGGTCGGCGTATCCGTACTCTTTCTTTCTCATTACACCATTCATCCTACCATTTCTCACTCCCATCATGACTTAACAACGCATTTCTCGTTCTACAATTATCTTTCGAAAAATTCATTTTGTATTCTGAAATTGTTAATTGGTTGTGCATTAGCCAAGGACAGAATTTGATGATAGAAATTTTCAAGACGACGAACGAGACGCAATTCAAGTCTCAAAGTTCGAGACTTTTACTTTGAGAAAGGGTTATGAGTTGGAGGGTCGCTTGGTAGCCAGGGACATGTCGCATCCATGAAGCTGATAAGAGAAATGGAACTCCGCTGTGAAGATGACAGTATACACTTTATGATATTGATAATGACATTGATACTGATCAATGGCTCTGGAAAGGAACACATATTATATTTCTAACTTTTGAGTGGTCTGATGAAACAATGGTATAAAGATACTATCTACAACTTAATTGCACACAAACGATACTATACGTCTTGGAAGTGTTTTCGAGTCTCTTAACGAAGACATAAATCATACAATTCGAAGGACTGATGTATATATTATACCCCTATCCCAATACAGCGCCACACTGAGAACTCCAATATTGTAAGTTAGCATGCAGTATCTAAAAGCTCTATCCCTAAAGCTGCGACGGCCACATCTCTAATGGAACAATCAATTAGTTTCCCAACGACAGGAGTGATAGCATCCACGAAGTCATACAATGATGATGAGCTGCTAAATCCGTTAAACTCCTTTCTGAAATACCAAAATTGAAAGGAAGGATTCGCATTATGTGAAATGTTTAGATATACCATATGCACCACCTTACTGTATCGGGTCCCGCTCTCGGTGGTGAGTCTTGATGGAGTGTGCTTGGGACTTTACATCACCCGTCTTGCGAAGATTCCATAGACTGAGATTACATGGATATAAAGCTTATGGTGGTAGTTACCCATGCTTCAACAATTGACTGATTATCTGTACTAATTCCTCTTATATCAACATAAAGTATTGACTTGGCACAGTCCTTGACTTTCCTCCCATTAAATCTTTGCTCCAAGCTGATTCATGGAGAGAAACGAGGATTGATGTGAAGCCCGGAAGTTAATCTGTATTCAGTATGTTTGACGCTAACTAGCCACTTTCACCTCCTCGATTTTCCAGGTAAGTGGCGCCATCTCGCATGGTTTGACCGTATAATATATTGAAAATCACACATCTTAGATGTACGATTTAGGTAAATCGGATATTGATCCTTAATTCCCTTGGATTCACTTTATTTTGAAGCCTAGGCCCAGATTCCATTTGAGGTTTTTTAAGATCTTTTATACTTTGAATAACTTCCTCCCAAATCTTCACCCATTCATCCCAAGCCTGTATGCAGTTCGTCCTCCAAGTGCAGAATTTGGTAGTCATCGAGATACAAATCCCCTTGAAGGTTGATGGATTTTCTGTCAATTTACCTTTTTGGTTAGGCTCTTGCATCAGTAATAAACTGAGAGATAGAAAGACCAGATAAGTAGAAGTGATGGCATTCAAACAATCAAGTTACAAACATATACTACCTACACACAGATGCACACACTTAATGGATACAAATGGTATACCGAAATACTAGTAGCTTCACAGTAATTTGATGAATTTATAATATTGGCTAAGAGTAGGTATATGATTAATTAGTAGTAATCTCATCCCCATGAACTTGTTTGTTCCTTTCCAGTCTCATACTCAACTTATCTTTATCTAATATAAAAAACCATATATCTCTCAAGTTGATTCGAACAATGAATTATACTTCTCTATATTTATCAATCAAACAACTAACTATATATATATATCTCTCAAGTTAATTCAAATAATCAATTATTCTTCTCTATCTTCATCAAACAAAAACCATGTATCTCTTACTCAAGTGGGTTGGTTCGATCAATCAATTGTTCTTCTCTACTTTTATCAAACAAGAATTATGTATCTCTCTAAGTTTCTTCAAACAATCAAATTGTTCTTCTCTGATACCTTTAAATTTAGAGAACTTAGATCTCTCAGCCAAATTTACCCCAAGACAAGAACATGGTGGGTGTCTATTAACATTGGTAAAGTAGTAGTAGTAGTGGTAGTAGAATCATAATAGATTTGATCCTATCTAATATTAACATTGGTATACAAACCATGAATAGAACATAATTGATAATGAAAATGACAAAGTAACTTCATTTGATTACAGATACTTAATACTGCAGTACAGTACTAGTAGGTAGGTAGTAGGAGTCCAATTGAACAACACCTTAAACCCGTCTTGTACCTTCGTATCCACAAGAACATGAATACCTCTTAACACACTCACCAGAAAAGGCAAGAGCTCTCTCTCTCTCTGATGACCTTGCCTCACAACACAGTACTACAAAAATACTCAAAATCTTAATCAAGTAAGAACACAATAAATCAACCACAAATGTAAAAAAAAATGAAAATGAAAAATTGAGATTGCAGTGATGATGGGTATATATTCTTCAATTGTAGCACCTTCTTCGTCAAATATGACAAAAATGGAGGGAACAATATGTGGGGGCGTTCTGAAATAGATTCTGGGGATTGTGGGGATGTGGGAATTGGGGAATTACTGTCATTAGACCATGGATGACTGTAGGTCCTGGGAATTGTTTACCAAATAAAAAAAATAAGGATTCGGGAAATTGGGGAATTAGGCTCAGAGAAACACGAAATTGCCGTTATCATTCGCAGTCGTCGAAGCAAACTACTCAACTCTATGGCCCTATCAGCTCACGAGGAGTCTCATCATTTTAGACTTTGGATGATTCTGGGGGTATTGTAGGCTCTTGGAGGAGGGGCGCCGCGGGTCGTTGTCAAAAAACCATGAATGATGACTGTGGGCTTCAGGGGATTGCTTAAAAAAAACCATGATTTTAGCTGTGGTCTCGGGGGATTGTTTACCAAAAACAAAAAGTATGGGTTCGGGGAATTGTACTCAGATGTTCTTCGAAATTTGCCTATTATCATAGGATGCCGAAGCATGCTCATTAACGTATTTGGCTTGGTTTTTTATCATCATTGGACAATTTTTTTGGTGGTTTTCACTTGATACCAGGAGTGTGTTTGCTCCATTTGTGTGTTCTGTCGAATTTATTGTATCCTCTATACTTTTATGGTCTGGTGTCAGGTATGGACGGAAGATCCGAGCTCATGTTGATGGCAGTCTGCTGGATGAGGAAGGTGTGGTGGGTGAGGTTTTCTTTTTTGGCTTCCTGCTGAGGTGTGGAACGTGCCCCCAGCACAGGGAGTCTGGGGGATGGGGGATAGGGACACTTGGTGAAAGACAGTATACAGTATAGTATGTATTCAAATTCGTTGAGGTGTGTAGGTATGTGATGTAGGTATGTAATGAGACTCAAGTTAGTAGGTTGCCTTTTCAGGAGACATGGAGATGGGACAAGGGACTAGGCTTTCGAACACTTCAGCTACTTACCCTTATAAACCATTGTTGGTTGATTGCTTTTTCAGGAGATATGGAAATGGGACAAGGGACTAGGCTTTCGAACACATCAGCTACTTACCCTTACAAACCGTCGTTGGCACTCTCGTATACCAAGATAGTGATGTATCAGTGAAGCACTGGAGCATGGTGCTGAACAAATTCAATGGTATCAATCATATTAAGTATACTATTCATGAAGTATATGTATCAATCATATTAAATATACTACTCATAAAACACTGGAGCATGGTACTGAACAAATTCAATGGTATCAATCATATCAAGTACACCAACACTACTCATGAGGCACATAGTAGCAACAGTATATCATGTTAACATCATCATTAATACTTTCATTCTGAACTAAAGCTAACTTTAAACATGCCCTTCCAATTCAATTGAGCTTCGATATCGCCCACCATTTCCACAACAGCAATACAAACCTTTAAAGGTTTAATGTTGAATAGGAACACTGTCTCAGGTTCTATAACGTCTAATGGTCGACTTAGGAAATTTGACACAACCGCATTCATTCCATCGTCACCCACCTCACAGAAACAACCAATGCATTACCAACTAAACAGTATTATCCACCCTTGCTGGGAGAAGAGTTATCCGGCTACTGTTCGGTGGTTATATGACTTCTCCGCGCCGAACATGGAAAAAATAATATATTTAAGACCCGGGTGAGGCCCAGTAAAGGCCGCCAATTTCCAAGTGGTGCAAAGGTAGAATTCGAGGAGTTCTCAGAGTTCTTGAAACATGACCCTACCCGCACAATCATATAGCATGTAAATGATTCATGGCGTCCTGAAGACCATCGAAGTTACGATAATGCCGGAGCGGGAGCTCTATAGTCCGGGTATATTCCTGCGGGATATAATGTGTAGATGATATGAAATTATGTAAGCAATTTCATTTCAAATTTATTGTAAACCAATTCGGTGTACCGGTATATATAGTATATAAGAGATGCCCGGATTATATAAATCCCCGATTCCGGTGCACGGCCTTGAAAGAACCGGTGGGAGGAGCCGGGATGCCGAGTTTTGCGCCATGATTGAAGTTTTATGCGCCTCTGAGTTGTGCCTGATTGTCGTGGATTCGTGTCGAGTGAAGGTTTCCAAAAATCGATTAAGTAATTGGCTTCGTTTGAGTGCCAAGGTCCACCAAAGTTTCAGAGCAATCATTTCTGTTTTGGGAGAGATATATGCTCCAAGTGTTCTTTTCTAGCAATGGGTAGAGCTGTGGACCTATCCTTTCTAATGGTAGAGATAATTCATATAGCTTTCACGACCTTTTTACAAGCAATTTTGATCAGCAGTCATGTAGATTTCCATCTCAAACAGGAAATTTCCAATAACTTTCAGATAATTTGACAGCCACCATTATCTTCACAACTCTGTGCTACAACAGCTCTTTCACACATCAGGGAAATCAGAGAGAATGCCCTTGAAAATACACTTGTCAAATCAGATAACATGGCTGCTTCACCTTCTCTTAGTGGACTGTAGACTTCAGTCTTGTTTTAACCTTATTTGAGATAATAATACGACATGAGTGGTTTCATTCTCTTAACAAGTAGTTGACTTTACCACCTCTTAAAATCTAGTAATGTAATCATGCCCATTGAGATTCTGCCAGTGCCACCACTTGTGGCTGTGTTCCTTTAGAAGAAGAAGGAACCCGAAATGTCACAAACTAATGTGCTTCGACTTAATTTCGATAGGAGATATATACTCTTGTACGGAAGGAGAAGTTTACTCTTATAAGGTTTCATTCTGGGATGAAAGGACTCATTTCCATATGGTACTTTGCTGTTTGGTTTTGCGAATAGGGGTATCAGCCGAGGCTTCCAATTTCATGGAGATATAACCTTATCTTGCCAGGGACAATTGATGGCATAATTTGAGATTATGTTGAATACAGCTAAGTCACTCCATGGTGCATGTAACAACATTATAGACACCATATACCATAAATTCAAATGCTTCAAGAATACTCGAGTACTTCGAGAATGCTTAATTCACAATCTTTGAAAATTTGATAACAGAAAATTATATGGCACGTGCTTCGGAAGAACATTTTACCGACACCGATTCAATTCCAACACTAGGAATTTTAGCAATCCATCCCATCATCATATCGCCATCAATCAAAAATTTGTTGAATACCTTGTAATCAGATTAACCACCATTCAAACATTTCATTCCACCGCAAACAATACTAGAATCTATCATCACTCATAATTTGGACCTACCCTCTAGCTGCGACAAACTCAGGACCTCGAGGTTTTCATCGAGCAGGAAAAGAAAAGTGAAAAGGCCTTTGCAAAATTATATATCATGGATCACACACGAGACCCATGTCCTTGGGTGGCATTGAACGATTTTGGAGGAGCTTTTTGTATGGGGGTACGCGATCGCAACATCTCCTTTACTCTGTTGTTGGAGGATGGATGAAGTTCCGTGAAGTTATAAAGTGTAAAGATCTTAAGAAGGGAATGCTGACAAGATTGTTTCACAGGCAATTGGAGGAGCAGTATGGCACGGTGTTAAAGGCTTTCGAAACTCGCCTTACGGCGAAAGACGGATCGGCGCACTCACAGCAATAAAGGCACGAGCTCCTGTACTGGGAGGAAACTTCGGTGTTTGGGGTGGACTTTTTTCGACGTTCGACTGTGCTGTAAAAGGATTGAGGAAGAAGGAAGATCCTTATAATGCTAGTATGTCCTTCTCGAGATTTACAACTTGTCTTTCGCACTGGCGGATTTGTTGGCCGGATTTGGTTTCAGTGAAACAAAATACTGACACAAGAATAGTCATTGCAGGATTCTTTACTGGTGGTGCTTTGGCGATTCGTGGTGGTGCAAAGGCAGCAAGAAATTCGGCGATAGGTTGTGCGGTTCTTTTGGGTGTAATTGAAGGTGTTGGAATTGGGTTTCAAAGAATGATGGCAGGAAATACCAAATTAGAGGTATGCTTTCTCTCCCCCAATTTTTACCTCTCTCAATCTAACTTTCAAATAGCTACCTCCCCCACCTCCCCCTCCATCCGAGTCCGGCCAAACTGGTTTCCCAGCTATCGCATAATTTCAATACTCTACCCCGCAATGAATATAATACTTTACTTTGGTCGACCCCTCCAACAAAACCACACACTCTACTCTTTCCGTCCAGCCAAGATAAGGCTTTGGTCGCATGTATTCTCCTACCTTCAATTTGGTGCAGGACCCCGCACTTCATACTGGACTTGTTTGCATAGCTGGGATTGGTGTATGTATATATAGATGTGACCTTTTGGACCTGATCCCAGAATTGAGGCAGGTTGAGGTCAACAAGCGTTACGAAATGGAAATGAAAATAATTTTAAGCACCTCTGATTTGGTTCAAGGACTACGCTGTATGTATATGATTTAGAGAAGGCTGATTGGTCCAGTGGCCAACTCTCTATTGTCCAATTCAGAAAATCACGGCCCCCCGTGGATATATCCTTGGTGCAGATGAATGGGCTATTCGAGTAGGCTTCAAATTTGCGACAACTGAGATTTTGTTTCTGACACTATATCATCTACAGTATTGCACGTTCCTCGTCAATCCCATCAACCATCCTCCTCTCTTTCTCACTCACACTCATCACTACCGCCAATAACATTCACCAATCCCTCCAACTTTCCATCTAGAACTTTTGCCGCAGCCAATAACCCTTTATTGCCATCGTCTACAGCAGCAATTATAGTACTAGGTACTTGCCACATAATCTCTGTTCCTTTTTCGCCCGGTAACTCGCGGACCAAGATTTCCACGGGCACAAAAAGCCCGGCGTTGAGAGATTTGCTGGATTGAGAAAGCATAGTAATGGCTATTAGTGGATTGCCAAGTATGATACGTTTGATTTCAAGGTGTGGATTGGTGTCGACGTTGAAGAGTGGAAGCCAGGAGCCGTGGTTGAATTCCTTTTGATTGTCAATCAGCTTTCAATCTCTTTTCATAATTGTGCTTCTCAGACTTCGTCTTGCCGAAACCAAGCGGCGAGGGGCAAGAAGCACATGCAGGTGATTGGGGTCAAATACACCAAATATCATGAATCCCTCTGGTCCAACCGCTGCCTCAACTTCTTTGATGAATTTCTCCTTGGATGTTTTATTATACGACGTGATGTTTGCGGCGATGGAGGGCCATGTCATAGCGGTGGGTTGCCCGATCGAGGTATAGAGGTTGGATATTACAGTCTCGAACGAAAGGGATGTGTGGGAAGTTTTTCGAGTCGCAGAGTAACTAAAGGAAGATGTTGTATTGTTGGAAGCCATAATCGAAATAGTTAATATGAGAAAAATGATGGATGGATGTGAGAAAACTGATGGTAGATGGTGGAATTACGTCTATATAATGTAAAGTTGTTAAGAGAGGATTGGATGGGTACGTGATTTCGAATTCTCGGACATAATTAGTGGCAACTTTAAGTTTTTGCCGCGGTCGGTCGTTGTCTTGTGTGATTACTGATTGTGGTAGAAGTGTCTGGGCTGCACAATCTCGAATTTGGTGGTTCTAATGTTATAGACATGTTCCATGTCATGCAGATACCTTCTCGCCTACATTACTCTTATTACTGTAACTATATCGTTCAGCTATATCAATATCAAGAATCCAAACAGGAAATCAGCAAGGGTCTTCTCCGTCGAATGAAATATATCGACGTCACATGATCATGATTACTTTACATTTTGTTAACCGAGGCTGATTATATATCTAACGCCAACTCCTCGTCCATAAACTGATGTATTTACAAAGCAAAAGATACTACTAATGGTTTTTCGAGTTGAATACAGTATTTATCTTATGCGGTGCAGATAATTCAGTTACAGGTGGAAGGAAGGCTGATTAGTGTTCGATGGTGAGGTTATATCCTGATTGGTTACATCCTAGTTGGCACCACGGATCCCTACCAAGGCGGGTCGGATGCGCGTCGTTAGCTATAGACTGAGTAATCCTATTAACAATAATGCGATTTCCACATTTGTTTTGTCTTCATAGAGCGATTCGAGCCGGGTAATGTAATTGTGGTGAATACGAATTTTTCACACTATATGCTTGTTGAGGAGGGGAAGGCGGAAAAGAGTCTTGAGCAAGGTGGATTTATCAAGTGGGAAAATCCGCTAGATTTATATCCCATGTTGTTTCTGGGTGTTTTGGGTATGAGTGTCTTGGCAGCTTACTCCTTATTTTGCGAGATTGCTTTCCCTAAGGTCGGTGAAGTGATATTGTACAAAGACGAATGGGTGAAGAATATGTCTCAATGGATTGATAATAGGTAGATACAAGTGAAGATGAATGTTACGAGGGGAATCGAGAGATCTGCGGATATATTTGATCGGATTTTGGAAGGAAGGAATTTTGGGAAGGCTGTACCGGTACTCCATATTGCAAATTTGTAGTTTGGGGTAGGCGCCTTGTGATGAAATGGTGAGTCTTATCTTTATGAGTGGAATCTAATGCGTACGTTATTTTCCTTTCTGCCTTTTGCTTTCGCAAGCTCCTTTTGTCATTCAGAAGTATGGCGCTGCATTGTGCAAAGCCTTGCTGAAAGTAGGCCAAGATTGTGATCATGAGTCAACACCAGTATTTATATCACTAGCTTATTCATAGCACATTGAAAGCCTAGAGAAGATGAATATGTGAAGACGCGTTGAAGTTCTCTACAATATCGCAGCTATTACAAAGATATCCAGCCCAAACACCATTCCAGTTTAATCGCGTACGACTTGGTTATTCTCGTTACCGGGGGTCCTGTTGTGCACATCGTTCTCCTCAGAGTGTAACAGATTATAAACGTCCACGAAATACGCCCTTATATCAGGCATACGTGCCAACTCATTACAAAGAGCGTTTCGCCATTCCAAAAGCTCATCGGGAGCCTCATCCACGAAATCATACCGCACTCCCCATTCGATGGCTTCCGTGATTATTTCAATCTGCCTGATGAGTTGAGCTTCCCATTTGTCCAAGTCCCCATGGCTGGGCTCTCTCCCCCATTCATACATTGAGTTGCGGCGATTATTGGCATTTAAGTGTAGGTTACGGGGGAGATTGATTGGATTAATGGGTTGTGTTTCGGACATTTTGGATGATGTTGATGGTGGCTAATGTGCTGTGGTTTCTTTGCAGGACTGAAATAGTTTTGAGGTTGGACAGACGTGTCAAAAAAATTATTGACATCTTAAAAGACTCCACGCCGGGATATATAGATATAGGTAGAAGATTGAGGTATGGCAAACAGTCTCAAACTAACCAGTTGCACGTTTGGATTGTATGACATCGCGCAGCTGACCAATATGAATGACATTTGACAAACAAACTAGATAAGTTGTCGCTGGTTTGAGTTTGAAGATCAGAATTGAGCTTGCATGTTGTGTAGCATGACACTGTGGAAGTGTTTTGTAAGCACATCTCAAACCACAATTCCACACCTCACAACCATGCAATAATCACCTACTCTTTTATTAAACACACCATCTGTATTAGAGTTTTTCAGCTAAGAAACAAGTTACTTTCAGGCAAACACCCAGGGGGTATAGCCAACTCTCAGGAATAACTTTGAGTAACTTTGGTAATTATGAATATTTCAATTTAGTCGAAGTTGAAGTAAGTTTTAGTTGTGTTTGATGCATTTCATTCCCACCAAGCTAGATGTAGTATGAGTCGGTCTAAATGTGAGTACAAGGATAGAGGTCCTACCATTGATGAATAATTTGTTCCTCGGCTAAAGACTTTCATTCCCAATAAAGAAGCTGATGCGGCATACCCACGCATCAGCCGGGAGATCGGGACCAACAACAATAATCACTTGAGTCCCACGAGAAAGGCACAACGATCATTGTATTCAACATCAAAATGAGAGGAAATCTTACGTTGGCCGTGTCTTGGGTTCTTCTGGGGCCAAGTCTCTCACGGGGTTATCATTGGTCCCAACGAACTCGTTTTTCAGCTTTCGCTCCCATTGATATCCGATTTCCACGGTAACTACTAAACTCCTTCAATTTCTGTTTTCCTTCTGGAACCCCTATCACTCTCTTTTCCCAATTCCATAAATGTCTTTCTTTGCCTCCCCCAACTCCTTCTCCAACATATCAATTTTATTCGTGCATTTCCTTAAGTATCCCTTGATATCCTCCACACCCTGCTTCGATCTCTCGACCACCTTCTCATCACTACCAAGCTCAGCAAGCTCATCTAGAGCGCCGACTATTCCATCTAGCTTTCTCTCATAGATCCACAAGTCTTTACCTTGCCCAAAACCTTTCAGTATCTCTTGCAGCTTATCCACGTCATCCCGCAGGGTACTCATGAAAGCCCAGATGGTTTTTGAATCTTCCATATGGGATTGGGATTCTGGAGCTATCTCTTTAAGAACATCTCTTTCAGGTCTGTCAGTGTTCTTGCTACGCCTTCTGAAGTTTTCTCGAAATGTTTTCATCTCTTCCTCAAGTCCTCCCTTCGACTTTGCAGCAGCGCGATGTCCTGATGCAAAGGAAGATAAAAGATCTTCATCAGTCCTTTGAGGATGCTGAAGCATGAGGTAAAATTCTCTATCCACAGCGTTCAGAAAATTGCGTGAATTGCTATCTGAATCGTTGAACATAACACCTTCTGAATCTTGAGATGGATGAAGATCTTGGTTGAAGGGTTCGGATTGAGACATATTCGTCGCAGATTCGATATCACCCAGCAGCTTTGCTTTGGAGTAGCGGTTTGACATGAATTCGATGCTATCGGGTGAGATGCGAGTGTAATCTGGGGTTTTCGATCTTGATGTTGTTCGAGAATGGCTAGTTGATGGGAAAGAGAGAAGAGTTGCATGGGAATAGAGGAGAAGTATTAAATTAGGGAGGTGTGGCAGTTATTATATCTTCATAAAAACATTTCTTTCTTCCTTTCTTTCTTTCGTTGCTTTTATGAAAAGTTAAAAAGTTACATAAAAGGGGGTAAGAGAACAAGCGAGAAGTAGGTATCTGTGCCCAAAGATATAGCCATTGATATCAGATGAAAGACCGAACATTAATATTATTTTGTATTGAACCCATTACGATTACATGTCTCATCTTGCTTTTGAAAGAACTCTTGAAGATTTCATTCTTATTACTTTTTCTTTTGTAGAACGGAATGGCTTCGAAGGGGGATATCGAGGGTGAGAGTAATTAATAACCTAGCGGATGAAGGGAGAATTAAAAAGGGGACCAGTTTTAGCTCAAGTTGATTATGATAAAACTGACATATTAGTATTTCAAAATCGTGTGATATTGAGGCTGATACGGTCAAATGGCACATCGGTATCTTAGAGTTTTTCTTGATATTTTGTATATGTCCATGGTTCCCTTATAGATGCGAGAGGCAGAGGAAAAAAACAAGTACCTATCTCTGGTACTTGATAAGAAGGTATAACTCAGATTCTGGTCATTTAACAGGCCCCTTAAGGCTTAAACTAATTTTGGAGATATCGGTATATTATTCATTATAGATACACAGTCATTCTGTACTCGAAATTATCGAGATAGTATCAAAAAACAGTACATTTCCATATTACGGTCAATTAACGGTGATACATTTTAGGAAGATTGTTATCGTAGATTGCTATTGTATAAATAATCGACGAGTTTTTATTTCAGTTCGATTTCAAAGGTTTGGAATTGTATTCAAGTCATTTACTTTTCTATTATATTAGAGCAGTAGCGAGAGTATTAATAAGAGTAATAGTAGGAGAAAATTTCGAAAAGCAAGTTAGGAAATGAATTACTTTTAACTTGATTTAACTTGATCTAAGTGTATTTAAAAAAGCTTGGTCTACCGATAATCAAAAACCTTAATAGACACGATCTTCTTCTAGTCAATCAGTTGTATAATATCAGAGGATTAGTCATAAGCTAGGGCTTTCCCCCCTATTTTAGCCTTGTACTATTACTCGAGTCATCACGGAGTAACATTAATCCGAATACCCATTTCTATTCGGATCTCGCACCTTCTGGGTAAAAACTCTCTTTACATATTCGATTATTCACCACGAACAAGATTTTAGAAGTACAGTATACGATAACACTATTCACTTCTTGTACCGTACAGCATATCACCAGATTTCGATTACCTTCTTTAGAATTTCTCTCAAAGGCATTCAGCACCTTCAAACAATTCCACCGACCCCACCAGTTCGTTCCCATCATGGATGAGTTCGCGCAATCAAGAGAAGATGATGATCTCTTTGCCGACGAGTTTGAACCAGCATCTGAGCCTACGGTCATTGAAGAAGCACCAATCCGATCCGTCTCGAAACTCTCACCTACAGCACAAACATATGTAGACATCAGTGGCGCACAGTCTACGTTACCAAGTGGACCTTCAAACAACAATCATAACCACAGAAACCACCGAGAACGAGGCGCGGATAAAAGACGCGGTGGAACCGGAGGTCGAGGTGGTGCGCCAAACAATGGCCTCGAATCGTCGATATGGGCGCCTCAAGAAGCAGAGCCTGTAGCTAATCAATCCGCCAAACCAGCAACAAAAGATAGGAGACACGGTGGACGAGGAAATCGAGGTAGTGCACCAAATAATGGCCTCGAATCATCGATATGGGCGCCTCAAGACGCAAAGCCTGTCGCCACTAAAGCCGCCAAACTTGCAACGGAACAGCCCCCTCCCGTGGCGCCTTCGACTTCTCCGCCTGCGAAATCTGCTGGCGAATCGCAATCACAACCACAACCACAACCACAACCGCAACAAAACAAACCTGTACCTTCAGCTCGTGGCGATCGTTCATTAACCGGTGGCCCTTCACACAAGAAACTCACCGAGGAAGAACTGACCGCAAAACTCGCGCGAATGAAGATTATAAATGCGGAAAAGGCCGAGTCGTTCAAGAGGAGCGAGAGAGATAAAGAAGGTTATGCGATAAAGGAAAAAGAGGAAAAGCGAAAGAGGAAAGAGGAGATTGAGAGGGGAAGATTATTGGAGGGGGAGAGAATGAAGAATAGGGACAGAAAGTTGAAGGCTATGGGTGGTAGGGAGTGGGATGAGGGCAAGGATGAGAAAGAATCCGAGGATTATCAAGGAAGGGGTTCGCAATATGTTAGAGGTGGTCATGGCGGGGTTATCAGAGGCCAAGGTGGCTTGGCCAGTAATAGATTTAATGTTGCGCCGGAAGATGATATGTCTTCGTACATTCATGATGACAACAGAGGACGGGGATCCGGACGCGGAGGTGGAAGAGGAAGAGGGAATGGCCGAGGAGGAAGAGGGGGCTCAGCGCAGCAAAAACAAACTATACCTGCACCAGAGGATTTCCCTTCGTTGCCAACATCAGCTGCCAAAGACAAGGCAAAATCAGATCACAATTCCCCATTGGTCAGGGCCGGAGATTGGGCCGATGAGATGGCTACTCCTATTGAGCAAGAGAAGAAACTTGGTGTTTAGGTAAATGGGAGGGAACTTTAGATTATGGGGAGGTCATGTGGTTAAGGGGTCGGATAAATTTGGATCAAACAGGATATCTCAGCAAGGCGTTGAGTATATGCTCGTCTTTGGGAAGACTTGAGCCGCGCAATTTGGTTTATGTTCAGGATATTAGAATAGTGAAAATTTGAATTTTGGACATTTTTTAAACTCGAGAACTGAATGTGATGATGCTTTGATAAACCATTTCGATACCGATCTTGATCTTTTGTGACAAGATATCTTTACGCTGTAAAAATTCCTGTCATCTATAGATTTATAGTTTGTGAGGCCTGTGATCTAAATACTGTACATGTAGTTGAAGCCAGTAAATACCCAATAAGCAACAAATTGACCAATTATGAAACTCAAAGGCAATCAAAGTTGAACTTTTGGGTAGTATTGTAATAATTCCCGCGTTTATAACTCTTTCCTTCTGTAGTAGTTGCCGTGCATGGGATTTCCTGACCATACTCAATATATTCCTCGACTCTTGCGTACCCTTCCACCGAGCCAGACGCGGTTGCAAGATACTCTACATCACGCGCCTTGTACCATCCATCGCGGATGGCTTGCGAAAGATAAACATCTGTATTTCTTTTAGCCTGATCAGCTACCGCCCAAGAAATGTAATCATTTCCAAGATTATGCCAATCGTTTACACGACAGCTTTGTCCGGTACGTCTGAGGAATGCTATATTGAGTGTAGGAGGTGTCCAACTGCTCTAATCGATATAATTATCTGAAGTTGGATCATTGTCTTCAGCAAAGTATTGTGTATGCGGTTGTTTAACTTTGGCTAATTTGGCGAGGTAAGCCTCTTTGATGGCAGACTCGTCATAGAAAGTCTTAGACAAGTTCTTCCAAAGAAGGTGTCTGCCGGCTGCGATTACAGTCGAGAAGTTCACGAGTGCTAAGCCACTTTCCCCACTAGGAATTCGGTGATCTCCAAGTTTACCATCGACTGCCCTAGGCTTGTATAACCTGGGATCCTCGCCACCTACGATGGGTCCATTGCAACTGAAGCGATCCACTACGTCGATTGAATCATCGGATGTTTCTGACATGACTGATATCAAATCAGAGTCCTCGTTCTCAAGGTCCCCTTTCTCGAGGTCATCGTTCCCGGATCCGTAATCCGTATTATCAGCATCATATCCGTCATCGTCGGTCTCCTCTTCTCCAGGTTGGTGGTGGTCGAATTGCGTCACTCTATTCATTTCGTTGGACTGTCTGATGAGAATAGATGAATCGCCATGGGGACGTAGCCCTTTTGACGACCGAGTCTCTTCCCTCTGATCTATCGACCTCTGGGTGGATGTGAGACTGTTCGCAAAGTTTCCCGCAGTTTGATATATCGCTTGTCCAGAACCCCCATAAAGTCTCACCTCTTCCTCAAGATCGTCCTCGGAATCGTCCTCGGAGTCATCCTCGGGCTGTTCCCGCACATCGTCTAACTCACTATCATCGTTCCACAGCCAATCCCTCTCATCAACTTCAGTCGCAAATTCCGCCCCATCTCGAAAAAATCCCGGCTTGCCAGCAATTGTCAAATGCTCCACCCCCAATTGTTGATACACCGCCATAGGCGAATAACTTTTATATTGCCGCCATTCATCCCCATGTCTAGCCATCGTTTCTGCCCAAACGTCTTCATGAATTGCAAGATTTTTGACCTTTCCTAGCCCTCCAGCTAGCCCAACTGCCTCTAGGAATTGTGCGTTATGTAAATGTCCGGTTCTGTCACCAATATATAAGATGTCGTTTCTCCAATCTATTAACGTGTTATGTTAAAGCACTTAGAATACCGCCCTTGCTCACGTTTGAAAATCGTCCGAGATTGTCGACATACTTGTGCAACAACGAAAGGATTTCGGCAGTTGTGCTCGCATTCGCATCTGTGGGCTCGCCATCTGTAACCTACAATTTCATCGAAACCGTTCCAGCCACCTATAAAAGTCCTTTAGAAATATATGATCCGGCGGATGGAGAGAATATCAATAAATGTTTGACCTACGAGGTCGAGGATATACTTCGATCAAACGTGGCCCAGGGCAAGAAAACTTCCAAACCTTACATTGAAGCTCGAGGGGTAGTTTTGGGAACAAATTTGAATTTGCGAAGTCGAATGCCACTCCCAGGGGTTTGTTCGGTGATGTGGAGGCATTTTTCAGCGAGATGAGATGTCTACCGGTAATTGGACTTGAGTATCTAAGTTGAAAAGGAAAGTGAAATATCTAGATGGAGTGAAATATTTAGAATCATTTAATAATTTTATATTGAATGCATAACCCCCACAGCACGTGATAGCCCTTGACCCAGTCGCGCTCTCACGTGATATATATAAAAGTTAGATTCGATTATGTAATAAGAATAAGAATACTCGAGTACTGATCCTTTATAACCGAAAGAGTTTATGGATGAAGCCATGAAACAGGTCACTCAGGAAAGGTCACTTATATCAATGGTGATTAATACTTACACAAAGTTACATTCGAGTTATCAATATACAGAACATGTTGCAAAACACTTCCACTACACCTCGGTCCCAATGGCAGACGCAGCCTTAAACCCCATATACCACCCAACTGAAAATGTGAGCAGCGATAAGTACCGCCATAGCCGCCTATTCAACTTCTCTAGAAAAACTCCGTGGGCCCATTTCCTAAGGGGCGAATAACGAGCATGCCTACTCCAGTTTTACCGTTACGGCGGATATAAAACAGAGAACCCGTCCTCGCAAAAGCTTTACCACGCACAGATATCCCGTCGATTGAGTAATTGTAAGCCTTAATTACCTTGGTGGTTTACGATTTGAAATTGGATATAGTACCAGGAACGAACCTGGTGTTTACGAGACCTTCGTTAGGAACTCAAATAACAGTTCTTGAAGACGGATGATATAACCCGCCATGAAATATGAATCTTCTACTCGAGTATACCAGCCACCTTTACAGGGGAAATCATACCTCCTACTAGATCTTGGCCAGTTAATTCTGTGGTTTGGATGATGAATTTGAATACTTTACTCTAGGGATTACTGGCCGTGTTCATGTGGAGATATAATAAAATCAACCTGGGCGACTGGTACATTTATTAGGTGTGGATATGGTGTTGGTTCATTGACTGGAATCATAATGATGTGGGAAGGGAGCAAGGTCGAGGGCAGCTAATTGAGATTATGGAACCGGAGGAGAAATGGTCAGATCTAGAGGATCGTTCAATTAAATAGTGAGTTTGTGATTTCATATTTGTATAGTCATTATTCCATTACCCATCCCTGCGGAAGTCTCCAAATCATTAATCTATTTCTATGCAATTGTATGAAGTTCTATGAGCCCGGCCTCCATCCATCCCGCAACATTAAAAGTTCCAGATTCCGGCGCACTTTTGCCTTATTATTCCCCTTCGTCCAACTGACCATTACCTTGAACTAAGCCACGAATTCTCTCTATAATTATGCCCCCTGATCGTCTTGCAATTTCCAGTCTCAGCGTGCAATCCAAGTCGTCTCCCAAAGCTTGATATCAAATTTTCTATCCTCCGTCAAAGCTCGTATGAGGAATGGTCATTTCATTCTATTCATCAAAACTCATCAGCTTCCTCCAACTCTGAGGTATAGCAGCAAGATCCACGTTGATGTGCGGACGGTGCTTATCCACCCTCGCTTGCAGCCTTCCGACCTTCCCTACAAGCGCACTCTCATGCGGATGAGCAGTGACCAAATCATATATCTCCGCATTATAAAACTCGATTATTTCCTTGTCCTGCAGTGTCTTTTCGTTGATGATCACCCTGTTGCTTGTCATGTATGGGAAGCTCATTAATTGATATGCCATATGCAGGAAGCCTATATCATACTCAACCTTGCGCTTCAGACTCGAGATTTCAAACCAAGGAAATTCCATGAGATATTTGCGGCGGAGCGTGATACGAGTGCGCTTGTAAAGGCCATCCGTGACCCAGGGTCCTTCAATGTAATCATTTGGATCTGCAGTGACCACTAGGTTGTCGGTGAAGTAAGGGTTTACTGCAATGTTATTGTTTGGGGATGGGATCCCAGATCTGTGAGACCCGTAAAATTGCTGAATGTGATGATCAAGCAACCACCCTCCATTCCTCCAGCGACACTGTTGAGCCAGTATTTGACAGTCTTTCAGTGCTTTTTTACGTACAGACGTCTGCGCACAAATGAGGGAAAGCCAGGGAAAGCTATGAAAATACCAGCTACAAATAGCAGCGTGGGCCTTATGAAATTGCAGTTCGCTGGATGGGACGTCAAGGGAATGAGATCCGCATTCAAGAGGATATAAATCGCCACTCGCTATTATCTGAGGCAGCTCAGCGGCTGGTCTTATTACATAAGGTATCGTCTGCGAAGTCTTGGGATTCTCAGACACAGCCGAGGCGGTAATCGGAGAGACAGCATTGGGTATAAAACGAGCTGTGAGGATGGAGTAACACAATCCACTTTTGAAATCCCTCAATTTTTGTATTCCGAAACTATTGTGGATTTCTTCGATGACAGCTTTCCTGGAACATCGACGGATCGGCATAACACTTGATACGGTCGGTAAACATGAAGTATTGAATGGCTCTTTGTCGGGTGGAGGGCGAAGTATATAGTAACGGAGGTTTTGTTTATCGTCGATGAGGATATGTAGGTTTGGAGAAAATGGTCGAATTTCGGGAAATGTGGGGTGGTGCCATGGTGAAGGCACAGGGACGGTATATCGAAACGCGCGATCATTTGTGGATGAGTTGCAGATAGTGATGCCAATATTCTGTGGAGCGGACGAGGAATAAATACCATGGAAAAGTGGCATATTTGTAGCAGCTGAGTATATTGAAGTATTAGACCGCGAGGTAGGCACAAGTAAGTGCGAGAGAGATATATATAGCAGATCGCCGGAAATTTGCTCGAATGCGAATTTCGGAATGGAAGGTACGAGGAGCTAGTATGAGTAACCAGTGAGTAAAGCTGAGATAGAAAGACTCATTCTAGCATTGTTTGACTCAGGTATGGACAAAGGTTCTTTTAGAAGAAAGATCCCTTGTGCCAACCTGGTATTAACCCTATCTTGAAGTCAAGAATCCATTAGATCGATAGCTGGTATTTAGGTTAAGGTGGAGGTTGAACTTGTACAAGTGACCATACAAGTGATGATCAAGTGATTGTTGTCATTCAACTTTGCTCATGTTTCCTTTCCGGAGTCAGGAGTGAATTCACGAACACAAACCGGGGAAGGTATCGGATGAAATAGGTTCCCTTTACATTGAGTTCAGACGTCCTAGTTTGCAAGTGAGTATATAGAAGAACAATCTCATTTGAGAGTGGTGACAGTAAGTACATACTTCACTTCTTTTGTCTTATGTATCTTGACAAGCCATCTAGTAAATTAAACAAACCATTTTCCAACAGTTTCTGTCTGCGCCTCAAATCCCTTCAACAAACTTTCTATAGAATATGCAAGAAGCCTTTTGTTTCAAAAGCTAACCTACAACAATTCTATACATAACAAAACTTGGTCCCTTGTCAATGTATTCCAATTCGACCAATTTGCGATCAAACCACTAAAGTAATTTTGCGATCTTTTCTAATGGTTGAGTTACAACCACTCCAGCCATTTGCCCGCGCTTGGTTGCATGACTTCTCTTTAGCAATTCCCAGCTGGGTAGACATCACATTGCATGAACACCACTCACTACATGGCCAACCCAATGCTGTTTTACTCAAGACCTCGATATTCCACGATCCAGAGTTAAAATGGTCCCAAGACAACACTTTATGCTACGATAGCAGTAGTAGGCTCTGTAGCCAAAGTTTGAAGTTGTAGGTAGGTTCTTTCAAATTTCTGCTTTATCAACCTCAATGGTAGGATAGTGGCCTAGCATAATTTCAACGGGAATGGGGAGTTGGGAGTTTTATTTCTAGAATGGGTCTGGAAATGCCGACTACATCTAAAGAGGCAACAGGCCAAGTACCGATTCCTGAGACGAGGGGTTAGTGACAATAATATAAATACTGATTTAAAGGCTCCTTTGAGTTCTGTAATTGGAATGAGTGCAATTCAAGTTCCTAAATAAGCTCAGAAGTGAACGGTCACGGAATAGTGTAAGTTTAAGAATTAATTCAATAGAACGGCAATGATACAAAATGACGAAGACAACCAAATTATATGTAATACATACAACAATCATGATTCTCATGATTCTCGGTCCCGATTCAGGGGTATGATCTCGCTTGCGTCACTACCCAGACACTCAGTACTACTCGTACACTAAATGATATTCTTTACAAATTCAAAACAGATATTCATATTCATCACTCCTCTTTATGGATGGGGAAACTAGGCAGTGGTCAAATAATGCATCGAGTATTTGAATGAAGAGTGGAAGAGGAAAGCGGTGACGGCGGTGAGCTATGATGATATGGGGGTAGGAAGGCTGCGAGCCAATTGAGAGAGGTGTGGTAGGGGTTTAGGATGATAGTTGGGGAGATGGAGAAAGAGAAACCAATAGACTTGGTGTTGATGGAAGAAAGATGATGGGGAGGACTAGTAAGGGAGAGACAGTGGGGCGAGAAGATCGATGTTGGGTGGTAAGATGAGAAGAGAGGGAACTTGTGGGCGGGTATTGGGGAACTGATAGGAATTTGGGAACGTAGGAGTAGCTGAGAAGGACAATGAAAATTATATTGTGATATTGATAATTGCTGTAAATAGACTGGAGAAAAGAAAAGACGGAAACCCGAATAGCGTCACAACCTTCCAATTTGATCCTTTCCAAATCTCACCTTTGTACTCTTACTTATAATTAGCACCGGTAATGGCTTGACCTCCCAGCACCCCCTGATAAACTCCTTGTGGTGTCTCTCAACACCCTTTCCATGTAAACTTTCATTAACTCCCACGTTCTTTACCTCCTTCAATAGCCCCCTAATACTTTTGCCACGTTTGACTCCCCTCCACTCCACTACCACAGGACATAAATATGCTCTCAAACTAAAGTGTCTCATATAAAAGATATGGCATGAAGACAATAAGGATCTTAAGTACAACGTTTGAAGAAAATGATTGGATTTGCGAGGAGTATATATCAATAAGTGTGATAATTGGGGCTCAACGAAGCAAGTCGCGTAAACAGTGCAGTGATCAATGCAGCGAACGTGGAGTTAAGATTGTGATAATCTTTTCATGAGTATTTTGACTTTTGATAAGGAAAAGAGAGGATAATAAAATAAATATATAAGAGATCATGGAAATATGGACATACTCGTAGATGGCTATGAGTTCTGAACAAGGAACCGGAATGAAAGAAATAAAATAAAATTTTCGAACCTATTGGCATCTCAATCTATGAGTAGGCATCTGAGGGTATCATTATATCTGGAGGCCCCTACCCCGTTAATGTTGATATAATAAATATTTATTCAAGCATTGTCGTCTACTTCTCTACATCCTCTTCGTTTTAGACTTTTAGTTGTCCCATGAGGCCTCTTTTGAAAACATTTGTAACAAGTTGGATTTCCCCCTCTTCGACCCTTAGTCCCTTAGTCGTTTCCCTTCGTCCTCAGCTATGGTCTAGGACAACAACAAAAACTAACAATTTTAATAAAATTTATTAAAACTTATGTTAATTCAAAATTCCGTTTTTTGAGATATGAAAAAATATATTATTATATTATGAATTTCTTTCTATATGTGCTTTCTGCCTTCTTTCCTTTTCCAATCTCTGCTTAATCGCTTCCTCGTCTTCTTCAACCGCGGCGGACTCGGGTGGTGGAGGTAAAGTAGTGATGAAAGCTTCGGTTAAAGCATCTCTGACAGGTGCCTCGAGGGAAATATATCGAATGTCTCCAAGTATGGTTGGAGGTAGATGAGAGATGAGAGTCGCTTTGTTCAAAATAGCCAGGGATTGAGATTTGAGGAGCGTGGAAAGATCCGATTTTAAAGTCGACTGTGGAAGTTTTAGTCGATTGATATGTTCTCTGTAAAGCTTTTCGCGATCTTTGTCTAACAATGATGTGTCTCTCATTTCCGCTTCCTTTTTATATTTCCGTTTGAATTCTGGCCAATATAGTTTTGGTGTTGCATGATTTTGCAAGAAGGTCAAATATGGAATTTTGGGATCCTTCTTCTCTTCTTTGGCTCGTAGTTCTCGAAGTTGTGTAATCTTTTCCTTTGACCATTCATCCCATACTTCCCGTCGTGATTTCATATTTGTGAGAGCTGTGTAACGAGTATCCTCCACAATTTTCCCATCTTCAATCAATTTCTCCCATGGCCAGTATGGACTTATACCAAAGTCGTTGAGTAAATCCTTGAAGAGAGCGGCTGAATCTTCAAACGTAAACTCCAATCCCTCAGCACCCGGTTCCCACTCATCCATATTGCCATCATCATATTCGCCAGGATCTAGTCCATATTCTTGTCCCATAGCTGCGAGCTGGTATGCGATATCGTCTTCATTAAACTCAACAGGCTCTTCAGGATTTAAATCTTCGGTTCGCTGCCGTTTCGAGGGATTTTCTTCACCGTCTTCTCCTTCATCATCCGTAACCTCCACTTCTTCATATTCGGAACTATCTTCTCCATCGTGATCTGGAATTTCAACAGCCTTTTTTCTCATGCTCGGAATCTGCGCGGGACCAGACACTTCAGGGATTGCTTCATCGTTCCGCTCCTTGATGAGTGCATCCGCTTTTTCTTTTATTCTCAATTGATCCAGCTTTAAGATGCCATCCTTGAGCTTATCCGGTATGCGCCAATAACTTTGTTCCTTCTCAGTATTGTAAACAAATCTTCTTCCATATTTGGTATGTACAAGGACCCAAGGTTCGCATTCAGGAATAGGAAAACGCGATTTTGGTTTGTCATTTGGCTGTGGTCGATTTTCTCGCGAACGATCATGACCACCTCTACCCCCTCGATGACCCTGAGAGCCACCTCTTTCACCTTGATTCGGTCCTTGGTCTCGAGAAGAAAAACTGTTGAAATTCGGCCCAGCACTTGGTATTGAATTTCCAACAGATTGGTATTGGAGAAAGCTTTGGGTTGGATCTGGAGCAGGTGGTAGAGGAGGAGCTACAATTGATGCCGGCCGCGTGTATGTAGATTGCTTATTCTCGGTATTATAGTAATATGTATGACCTTTACGATTTAGCTATGATGGACCTCAATGAATAAAAAATGATTATTACCTGTAGGAGCTTTATGTTCAGTCCATCCCGGTGGTAGAGGAGGCGGGAGGGTTGGTTTGTGGGTTGATTTCAGCATATTGTTGGCATGAGACTATCTGGTAAATAATTGAGGAAATCTTCAGTAGCCCTGTTGTGGTGTAGGTATGTTTTTAATTGTCGTCATTTTAAAGTAAGATTTACAATTCTGGTCGTTGAAGATGGACTTTCGTTTTACAAAAATGTAAGGCTACAAGGCTGTAACACGAGGCTGTAAGGCCGAAAGATCAAAAGATTCCGGCGCTAAGCTCCGCACTTAGCTACTACGCGTGGTTTGGGTCGTGCCTGGAGCTCTATTATTGAAGTTGACCTTGGAGCAATAACATAACATCCATCGCTGTCAACGAAAGAGGTTATTTGACTTCAATTTATTTCTCAACCATATTGAAGATTGAAAGTATTAATTTCTCTTCTTCCTTCCTTAAATTACCCTCCCCCCTCCCCTCCAGACAGATAACGTTTTCGATAAACCGCAATCATGTCCAGAAGATACGATTCAAGAGTAAGCTCCAAATGATCCATCATTACTGTAAATCCCTACTTACTTTTACAAAGACTACCATCTTCTCTCCAGAAGGACGTCTCTACCAAGTCGAATATGCCCTTGAGGCTATCTCCCATGCCGGAACAGCATTAGGTATATTGGCAAAAGATGGAATTGTATTGGCGGCAGAAAGAAAGGTTACTAGCAAGCTACTGGAGCAAGATACTTCAGCTGAGAAGCTTTACATCTTAAATGAGTATGTCTGGTCATTGTTCAACCCTGAAAATGAAACTCTCTAACATATTTCAGCAATATGATTTGCGCAGTAGCAGGTATGACAGCTGATGCTAACATCCTCATCAATTACGCCCGCCAAGCCGCTCAACGATACCTCCTTACCTACAATGAAGATATACCTTGCGAACAGCTCGTACGTCGATTATGCGATTTGAAGCAAGGTTATACGCAACATGGTGGTCTTCGTCCCTTCGGTGTTTCCTTCATCTATGCAGGCTACGATCCACAGAGAGAGTTCCAACTTTACCAAAGCAACCCTAGTGGTAATTATGGAGGATGGAAGGCTACGAGTGTTGGTGCGAACAATGCTAGTGCGCAAAGCTTGTTGAAGCAGGATTACAAGGAGGATTGTGATTTGAAGGAGGCTTGTGGAATGGCGGTCAAGGTTTTGAGCAAGACTATGGATTCTACGAAGTTGAGCAGTGAGAAGAGTAAGTGATTTTTGATTAAAATTTTGAGGTACCCTGCTAACTCTATGACAGTTGAATTTGCGACAGTAGGAAAGACCGAAGATGGCAGAATTTACCACCACCTATGGGGTGCTGATGAGATCACGACTTTGTTGAAGGAACATGACTTGGCTAAGGATGAGACCGGACCAGATGGAGATCGAATAATCAGCTAGATATTTTCTCAATGAATGGTCTAAAGAACAGAGACTATGTAACAACAAATGAATATTTCATCAGCAGGGGCAGCAAGGTTAGCAGATCCGTGAGCTCCAAGATTAGTTATATCCTTTTATATCGCTGAGTTTTCCTCCATTTCTGGTGTATAGATTCTCCAACTTTTGCCGATACTCGTGCAGCTTGTTAAGTTCCAATTGTAATTTGTCGTCGGGTGAGGCATCTCTAGGTGCATTCGCAAAATTGGTCTGTGCATTTCTGACCATTTTGTCGAAACTTATTTTCTTATTCCCTAAGGCAGTTTCTAACTTGTTGAGCTTGCCTCTTACTTGTGACTCGTTCTTCTTTTTGTCCGAGTTAGCTTGCCCTTTGTTTTGATTCCCTTTATTATCGTTGTTTTTATTATCCTTATCCTTATTCTTGTTGTCGTATGTCGATTTGGGAATTATCATCTCCCCGTATGGGGTGTACGCAGGCATCGGTGGTAACGTCTTTCCTGGATATGCAGCCGGCGGTGCAATCTCAGATGGTCGTGTCAATTCCGCTTGACAAGCTGCCTGCATTGCATGGGCATGGCCTATCTCGTTGGACATATTTCGAGGTAATTCGGAATCATCTCGAGGAACCAAGTGCCAGTAATTATTGACCGTTTGGATGAGTTGGATTAACCGAATGCCCAGATACTCCATTTCAATCCTCGAAAGCATCAAAGCCAATAGATCGAAACTCTTCTTGGGTAAGAACGCGCTATTATCTCGTTCGTGTTGTTCTGGCCATGAGGGGGGTACTTGGCGGAACATTACAATCCTTTGGGTAAGATTATTGATCGAAGATTGCATTTCCCGGTAGATAGGATAGCGGCGATCAATACGTTCCTCGAGATCAGTCTTGTATGCAGTATCAGTAGCTGGTTCGATAAATTGCCGTACGAAATTCAATTCCGTCTGTGCCATGATTCCTCGTCCGTCAACTGCTTTGAAGGCTTCGTGCACATGGATCGCTCGTCCGTGATCATCATCATATGGTCCGTTCCAGTATGGCTGGCTACCTGGGACATTATTGTCACGGATGTATACGTAGAGGTGCCATACTCGTAGCAAGAATCGTCGAATCTCACTTCGAACAAGCTGTGCTGCGAAATCCCATTTGTTCGGATAAGTCACGTTCTCGGAATCAATACGGATAGGTGCGGATTCCCATACTGGTAGCTCCATCTGGCGATCAGTTATGATCATCGTGAGGTTTCGCTCCGAATTGAAGAGTCCCAGGTATATACCCCATGCAAGTTCTTTGAATGACTTGAAGTCGATCGGTGGCGCTATATTGACAGTTCCTACCGCAGCGGTTATGTTATCAGGTACAACTCCTATGCCTGGTATGTTCCCTTGCCACGCACCCCTCAGTTGCTCACCCATTTCGTTGATCACTCTTGCTCCCTCTCGGTTTCGCTGTTGCAAAAACATAACATAATCACTGCTAACATCCTTCTGCTGAATTTCCAGCTGTAATGCCTTGACCTTCTGCACGGAAGCCACAATGTATCCTTGTATCGTGATAACACCCTTTTCCTTGATATGAACATGAACATCGATTTCCCGGGCGGCAGCTTCAGTAAGTTGCCACAGCTTGTTTAGATCCGAACGTAAACCTTCAATCTCTTCTCGAGGAACACCGCTGCGTTCTCTCTCTTCTCGAAATATCAATTCTCGACGAACTACGTTCAAAAATTCCTCAAGAGTTACATTCTTGTTGAGGATTGCTTTCTGACCTCCCCGGGCAGTTTCGAGATCAGCAGCACAGTCTTGAATCTGCTTTTGCATATCCAGTAGTCGATTAAAATGTCTATCCCTCTCATCTCGATACTGAGTCTCTTGCGCAATCCGGGATCTTGTCCTTGCTTGTGCGGAGTTAAGCTCATCTTGCAGCTGCGACAAATCTGCGTGAGTATTAAAATTGACCTCCCCTCGCAATGTATCCAATTCCCGCTCAAGACGATCTACTCGGTCGCATACCCAGTTGGACCAGCATGGACAATTAGGGCGTGTTTCGGGATGTGCGTGGTCTTGGTGTTGACAGGAATTACTTGTCTCATATTCTCGCCATATTCGTCTGCCGTTATGGTTATCTGGAGGAAGCATCGTGGTTTCTGGATTGAAAGGTGTGGAAGATGGGCAATGGAATATGGGATTCTTGGAATATTGCCTCAATCGACAACAGTAATGTATGATGCACAAATGCCGAGAAATATTGCAAAAATCTATCGTAGATGAAAAGTAAAGAAAAGGAAAACATGTTGGAAAACTCTTTCAATAAAGGAATATCATGACATTTAGTACACCTTAGCAGGTACAAAGGAATTGTTACAATACCAAAACCGGTAGCCCCTTTTCTCTTCACAAAGGACAAAACATACCAATTCAGAATAACCATAAAAATGGTGGTGCTGGTGTGGAGAATTTGTTGTACATATATGTAAGTACCAGTAGGAATGAAACACCGTCCCATTTCGTTACCTCAACACCAAGACCCTTCTCGATGATTTTCTGCTTGAAAAATCCCACGGTCAAGTGAAGCGGAGGATACAATACAACTAACATGTGCCTGGTGCTCTTCCTCACTGCCACTCAAAGAAAGTAAAAACAGGCTGTGAGAAAAGGCTGCTATTTCACCAATTCTTCCGATTGAGCACAGATATTATGGAACTTCCTCAAAGATAGGATGAATCGAGTAGTCATCCTTACAATCTTTAAATGGATAATATCTGACGAATGTGACTTTGTGCTCTTGTGTGCCAGGTAAGAGCCTGAAGTGCATCAGCTTTAAGCCATTAATTCGAGCTGGGCCAAGTCTTTCCATTGCTATCCTAATCTCCCCTAGACCATCGAGAACTAGGTCAGATGGTCCCTTTGGTTGAAAGGAGAACAGCTTTGAGGGCTTCTCTGGCATGTTCAACCAAGTGTGTAACCAACCCTCGACCTTTTGTCCAACAATTTTACTCGGAGGAAACTCTTTCTCTATCTTGCGAAGTAAGGACCTTTTGAGTTCAACGAAGAGCTGCGAGGTTATCGGAATATAGGCACTGCTCATCCTTCTCTCAGGCTTTTTTCTAACAACGTCGGCGTTGGTTGTGGCAGCATGAACATGGCGTACAGGTTCGGCTTCAAAAGGAGCAATGGCAAAACTAGATTGCTCATTCGCAAACTCCTTCAAAAGCCAGTCCGTACGAAAATCATATTTGCTGGGAATTCTGTCTCGAATGATAGGTTCGAATCGGGGGTTGAACATATATTTCTTCGCAAAATGACCGATTCTTTCATTGGTAAGAACCTTTTGCGTCCATGTTTCGTCGAAATATGCAGCTATAAGTAGATAATGTTGACCGTGTGTTATGGATTCCGGTTCGATTAATCGAGAGAGGTTTTTGCTTGGTCCCCATTTGACAAACATTTTTCCATGGTATAACCAAGAAGACTGTAGTAGGGGTTGACGTTGACGTTGAAGTTGTAGGTTGTCACAAAAAAATTGATCTTGTTAGACTCACGTGACGGTGTGAGATTATTGATCTCGGATGTCCAAGACAGCATAAAACTATAATCGACCTTAACCGCTTGTCGACAATGCCCTCGACCTCCAAGGATATCTCAAATCTACCGATCCTTTATCTACAAGAGTTATTCGAAAGGGACGGTACGGCGGTACGGCCTCGAAGCTCAAGATGGCTGATATCAAATGCTATAGCCTTAGGTAAAGAGATAATCAGTAGGAAGCTGGAAGGTGAGGCGATGTTGCAGTGCTCGATAAAGTGATAAACGCATTAGGTTCTTGGCTTGTTTATATATGATCTACTCACTGCTGGAAGACAAATCGTTCGTTCAGTTGGTGTCCGCGGCCAAAAATCAAAAGGGTTTGGCAATTGTACTTGATTCCCACTCTACATTACACATCTCCTCCAAGAATTTTACGATCATGACTAGCAAGACTTGAAAGAATCCAAAGTTCAAGTTGCACCACAATTCTACTCACAACATACTATTTTCCACCATGTCACTCTTCACTGCTCTAGGTGTCGTGCCTGAAAGTCAAATGTACATCTAGAATTTCCACGCACATTTTGCCCATACGGTGATTGTGTATTATCCTCATTATTTTGTCGGACTCGTCACCAGCTGGTGTGGCTACCTTGGCTCTTGTATCGTCAAACCTCAAAGTACAAGCACCACATACAAAGTCCATGCTGAGTCGAAAGTGCAAGTCAAACACCCTTCCCAACTTCACGTATCACAAAGATGATATTACTAAGCGTCGACAAAGTAACTGACATCCTCGCGGAAATTGAATGAAAAGTCATCATCCATACTGTTTCTCCCAGACAAACGGATTCGGTAAAGAATCTCCGCCGGATCAATATCGAGGGGACTCATGTTCTTCTTGCATGTACGGCTGAGAATCAAGATGCTAAGGTACCGGTATTCGTTTACTCCAATCCTCATAAACACACCTCAAGAACCAGGCGTAGAACTCGCCGAAGACGTCGCTAAGCTCTTCACGGAGAACAGTCATTCATGATGCCAATACCTACTCAAAAACCTAGGCCACAGCGGACGCGGCCGTTCTCGCTACAAATAATCCTCCCAATCTGGATACTGTGACTCTGTGTATACCCAATTTTTATGGTAAGAATAACTATAGCAGGGAAGTTCTGTTGGGCGCCATCAAGAAGAATTGACATATGGTGCAAATTGGATCTAATAAGAAAACTTTGGGGTTCTAATCATCTAAAGTGCCGCCTTGGCACATATTCTGGCCGCCGAGGCACTGGTTCACGAAGCCAATGTTGATGCTGAATCTATCGACGATAAAACTGGAGATATGAATCTAAAGAAAGTCAACGGAGAAGCATTTTCATCTCCGACAGAGTGAGCATGCCACATTTTATTTTCCCTCATACGGTTGTAGCCATGACAAGCCATCCGCTCGCAGAAATCAAGGTAGAAGCTATGCCGCATCTATTCTTTTCATTGAATTGCTGTTCTGGCCTTTTACATTTGGAATAAAATTTCCAGGTTCTCGGTAAGGAGGGATTGAATATCTTGACTTGGGAACTGATTGGAGCATTGAAAAGGCCAAAGAGAGATTGGGGCACCAGTCAGTGAAGGATCAGGGTGAGATAGGTGTTACAAGAAATGGTGGGCATTCGAAGCTAGAAGATTGGAATAAATTAGTACAGTGGGGAGAGGGTCGGGTCGAGCCCCTAAGCGTAGAGTATCTTCTAAAATGCTTCGAATCGACCACTTGCACTTGCAGTATTTTAGAGAAAGTATACCTACCACATGTTCAGGTAGAACTAGAATATCTGTAAAATGCTCATCAGAAGTCTTGAGAAAAGTGGATGTAATGGTTGATGGATCTTTCCCAGTTGTACTGTACACAAGATTGGAGGTGAAATGTGAGACAGCTACCTCTATTGACGGGCTGGAGCGTCCGTGGCTCGTCGCTCCCTATTCAAGCCAACAAAATTCGTCAATGACAGTCTTGAGAGCGACATCATACTGGACAGCAATAAAATTAGAACGACTGTGCCAACCAAGATATGAAGAACGAAAAGAAACCACGGATTATAGATGGGTTTGGCATGAGGCTAATCAACGAGGCCAATGAATTTCACATCAAGTTTCGTGGCTTTAGCATATATATGCGAATGCTCTGCTTGCACGCAGGCTCACTTCGCCAGGGATAAAACTGAAGTCGCATGCCTCCTAAACATTGTACCATGTATGTTATCTTGTCTGGATCGAGAAGCTGATGGCTTGAATATTTGAGGTTATCGTACCGCCGTTATTCGTCCAGTTCTAAAGGTCGGAGTCCGGTTCAAGCGCGCTTGTAAATATCTGCTATGCTTTCGGGATTGGCTTTCACATTAAAAGGCGCTCGAGACGTGCTGTACGTGTAGATGGAACGAACTATACTAGTATCGATCGAAGATGAATCCCTTCCGACATTTCCTTTACAGCTCGTTGAAACGAAAGAGGCCACTCATAAAATTATTTCCCGACCTCGTCCAGGCCAATTGATATGCCAAAGGTATTGCTATGAGCGAAGGAGACTCAGGCTTGATGAGACTGAGAATGGACTTCTATTTATGCTATGCGAGTCTTCATAATAATAATTTTGTTGTCCATTGAGGAAGGGCGAATTCGAGGGAATCGATGGATGTATCGAGAGGGAAGATGGCGGAAGATTGGTCTTTCTGGGCTGTGCTAGGTCCAGCCCGGTCGCCTATATTAACGCTCGAAGCGCCCCTATCCAAGTTTCTGTTTTGCGATAAATCTATCAAACATACTGAATTATGAATTATACCACCATTCAAAGGTGCAAGATAGAACACATCCAATTGTAAGGCTATTTAGTCTTTTCGAAAATACCTACTGAATGGAAACTGTTCCACAATCTCTTGGGTTTGCCACTGTATAAGCAGTTTATACAAATATGGAAGTCTCAGTATCATTCAATGAAGCCACCTGTGAGTAGCTCTTATAATGGTCAATCCAGAAAACTTTCACACTTAAACAGATGTTCGGGATGATTGTATGATTCTGGTCAATTTCTGCTCAGAATTCACTCTGAGGTGACATGAAGGCGGGCATGGAAATCTTCACCATGGTCACATTGAATTTTTGAATAGAGTTATTTTGAAAGAGAGTAGAGCCAAATGAAGTCTTAGGGAAAGTGCATATCTAATCTGTTGTTCGTCGAAAGTCCTCATATCTTGGTGCACTTTGTCAGTTCCTGAAGTTTATGCAGCTTTGTCCGAGAACTCCAGATACTGTCTTGTAATATCAAGTACCATATCATCATAAGTCTTGAACTTAAACCCAAGCACATCCTCTATCTTCTCCGCGTTCCAATTAAGCCGCAAGCTCGGTTGATTCCCTTGTTTAAATACACCATCATCTACTTCCTTGGGAAAATGCTTCTTCACAATTTCGAAAGCATCATCGTAAACCATCGGGGCGGTGACTCCAAAATCTTGCGTGCCAGCCTTTTCTCTGTCTAGCGCCAATACATGAACTTTCGCTACATCATCGACATGGGCTCCCCCCGCCAGTCTGGGCTCGTCGGATTTATGACCCAGAATTATCGCCAGAACGAGCCGGTTTGACCCCGACATCAACGACTTGACATCCGTGGCCCGCTGGTCTTTTCCATAGACAAATCCCGGGAAAACCTTCACGACGTCGAAGTGTGGTTTGCTTTTCTCCACAAAGGCATCCGTTGCATTCAAAGTTGCGATTTTGGCTGCACAATAGGCAGGAAATACCTCCGTCACATTCCTTTCCAGATCAACGACTCGAGATTCGGCTGTCGTTGGAGGGGGGTTGTTGGTTGCATGGAGAAAAGGCAGATTTGCAACGATGGAAGATGTGATGACCATGCGCTTGAGGGATGGAGTTTTAAGTGCTGCTTCGAGTATGTTTGCTGCGCCTTGCACTGTTGGATCAATGATCTCAGTTTGCGGGTTTCTAAAGGGCAGGGGGATTGGTGATGCGATATGAATTGCGTAAGTCATATCTTTCAAAGCTTCCGTATAAGCATTCGTTTGTAGAATATCCGGAACTTCAATGAATGAAAGCTTGCTTTTTGAAAAGAATTCCAAAAGTTTGGGGTGTGAAAGTAAGGCTTTAGATCCGGATTCGTTCCGAATGGCTGCTCGAACGATATAACCAGCATCCAGTGCCTCTAGTAAAGTTCTAAACCCAATGAAGCCCGTGGCACCGGTGATGAGGAGATTTGGAGTCATCATCGTTTGCTTTACAAATTATTTGTTGAAAGAAAATCGTCGAAGCTGGATGAGGCTTTTGTTTTATTTAATTGTTGTGTTGAGGGATGGAAGGATGATTAAATACTAAATGTAGCAGGAAATCATGTTTGAAGTTGGTGTCTTACTTGGAAAACAGCTGCTTTAGGATAGGTGCATAACGGCCGGCATGGGACGTGGACAGCCGTGTTATCCGTTTGAAGTGAGAAATCAAAGTATCTCTTACTAAATTATACACATGTATTACCTAATCAGCTATAGCGCCAAAAACAAAAAGGTTGTTATGTATAATTCTTGTTAACTAGTACTATGTTAACATACTTTTCTTGATACTGTAAATCCATAACAGACGATGACTAGGAAAGGCTTCTTAAGCTGATTAGTATAAGGTCTCCCCCTCGTCCCTGCAGCTTCAACTTGAATTTTTAAAGATTACATACCTTTGGCGAATTGTGCCACATTTTGAAATAGCAGTAGGTTCTTTTAGGATTCGTGTCCGAGGTAGGTATCTCCAGGGCGCACTTCACTATCCTTCCACTCTCTATCTATTTTATCCAACATATGCCAGATAAATAATCGTCACGCTCAATGGCTTCTAGAATCTAGAGATCTTACGCTCGGCTATCTCAAAGCTTATACCGTGAATCAGGTAATCATTGCTGACTCGATGATATTAGCATTGGCCACCATTCTACTTGGTTTGAGAATATATGTCAGACTTTTCAAAGCCACGGCCACGGCTACGGGATGGGACGACTATCTCCTACTACCCGCATAGCTACTCCTGGTTGGTATAGGAACCACGATATTTAGTGTGTGATCAAAGTTTGAAGCCCTCTAGTGTTGTTCTATGAAGCTTATCCAGTCATAGTCTCGGTCTCCTCCGCCGGTGTGGGAAGACACGTCGAAGTCATTGTCGCTGAAGATGCCCAGAAGCTTGACATGCTGTCGAAGCTCATTTACATTCTCGTATGGTTTTATGTCCCATCCAATACTCTATCTCGAGTCTCTGTTGTGGTTATGTATCTCCGAATCATAGCACATCGTTGGCCGAGATTCTTTTGCTGGGCAAAAAATTAACCTTTCTCGTTGCCAACTGCATAGCCACGCTCATATCTGCCCAGCTTGAGTGTAAACCATTGGCTTATATATGGGACAAATCTATACAAGGAGGAAATTGCTTCAACACAATCTTGTGGTGGAGACTGTTAACATTCCTAACTTCACTGCCAATACGGCGATTCTATTATTCCCAGTGCGCACTGTGTGGACACTACGAGCTTCAACATGGAGGAAAGCTGGCATCTCATTAATTTGCCTCACGGGTAGTGTGTAAGTTGCAATTTCCCCAGTTGCATTTCAATAAGTCGAAAGGCTCACAATGGGGCTATAGGGGTATGATTGCGTCCATTGTTCGCACAGTGGAGTTCTTCATTTCCAATATCGACTCAGACCCTACGTGTATTACTCATCCAAACCCCCCAAGTAAACTCATATCGCTAAGAATCCATAGGGTATGGAAATTCATGCCAGCTACTGCAGTTATTCCATCTTATTTCACTAAAAGAAGAGGCCTTGCCATAGGTTTAGCAAGCTCCAGTAGCATCATAGGTAAGAGAAGCCCCGCATTTGTGCAAGTGCTTTCATGTGTAGGAACTGACCAGAGAAATTGGGTGTTATTCTCTACCTAATCATATTCTCCTAACTGATCGATAAGATACACTTCGGTTGGACCATTCGAATCCTCAAATTCATTATGCTCTTTCTTTCTATCCTACCTGTTTTCGGAATGAATATGTGATCTAAGCCCCCAGCTGTGCGTCGTATGTTCGACGCCAAAGCATGGAAGGAGCCGGTATATGCACTTTACGCCATCGGTCTATTCATTACTTATGCATGAATCCATCCATATACCTTATTTCTATGTCCAAGAATTTTGTGTCGAGAAGAATATAACACAAATGAGGTACTTTGTCAACTCATGGCCGCACACCTCTTGGCGGTTTGTCAAGCTCTTGACCTTCGCGCATTGAACCAAAGCTTTCTGGATGGCTATAAATCACATTTTCGCACTTTAGTACACGAAAAATACGTGTTGAAGGCGGGCTTAATCGAATCCTCTGTTGAAAATTTATTCTCAAGCTTTTGGGTAGAATTGCAGCGTATGATGGATGCAACAGTGAGCATGAATGCCGAAGATAGATTTCCATTCATGGCGAAATCGATGCGCAACCTCTTCTTGGATCATCCTAGCTTTGATAAAAAGTCCCAGACACTCGAGAACTTGGAGACCTTCATAGATACCTTGGCTAGCTCATTATCCGAAACTTGGTGCCATAATCGGGATGCTTACCTTGTCCACGGGGATGCAACCCCCTTGCTTCGATATGCGTCGAGATCCATATATGGGTTTGTTAGAAAATCTTTGAATGTACCATTCCTTTCCTCGTCGCACTTGAGAACGCCCAAGCCGGACGCCGATGGGATGCTTTCCAGGCATGCCCCCACCGTAGGATCCTACACAGGTACTGTTTATCGAGCATTGAAAGATGGGACGCTTGCAAAAGTTGCCATGGACATATTGGAGTATACACATGATCAAGCAATACGAAGAGTATAGGCGGAAACGTGCAATTGGATTTCCAGGGAGGGTTGAGGCCATATTGTCAAACGACTGCGATTTTAAAATGGTGTTTTTGTGACTACAAGACAGCCATTCAAGAGTTCAATCAAGAAAGCTATATCAGTCTTTTATATACTCACATACTCAATTCGAATCAAATTGACAAATTAATAATTGTCGATTAACTTTTGCATTAATAACCGCTAACAACACAAAAACAAACTATTGGCCCGTAGAATTGCACATATATCTCATCACGTAAAGACATCACTAGCGTACCTATCATTCTTGATGCCTTGAAACCAATCCTCAACCTCCTCATCCGTCTTAGCCTTCCCAAGTAGATCAGCAGCCTCTGCATAAATCTTTTTGGTCATGACCGAGACACCTTCTCCGACCATGCTCGATCCACAGACATACAACTTTGCACCACTATCAAAAACCTTCTTTAACTCTTCTCTTTCTTCCCAAAGTCTGTCCTGCACATGGCGACACCCTTTACTCAATTCCGGAGCCTTCGAGAAGGCGTAATAGAGCTTTACTGCTCCATCCGATTCCCATTTCTTTAATTCTTCAGAAAAGAGAGCATCTTTGTCCGGATGTCCACAGCCGATGAACAAATGGGCAGGGGCTAGTTTTCGTCCAGCAGCAATTTGTAAAGCTCGCTCTTGTACAAAACCGCGGAAGGGAGCTAAGCCAGTCCCGGCGCAAATATAGATTACTGCAGTATTCTCCAAATCTGTAGGTGGATGGAAAGATCCACGACTTGGCTTGACAGCAACGTGCACACGATCTCCTTTCTCGACAGAAGAAAGGTAATTGGATGCCACTCCAAGATGGCGTTTTGATTCGCCAGCTTTTGAGACAGTGTCGAGAACAGACCAGGTCAAGGTGGCGACTGTGGGGTCATCGAGTGATGATGAGGAGATGGAGTATTGGCGAATTCTCATGGGTGGAAGCATGGCCAGGAAGTCTCCAAGAGACAGTGCGGTGGACGGGTATTCTTCGAGTATATCGAGTGGCGAACGACGTTTGAGTAATACCTCCTTTTCGAAGCCTTCCTTGCCTAAATTCTCAACTTTTTCTCTAACCTCTGATTCAGGTGTACTTGCGGCTATTTTTGCAATATTCTACCAGGGTTAGCATTCTGTCAAATCGAAATATGGAATGAAGTAATACCTTGCGAGTCGCAACTTGACTGAGTTCAACATAAGCACCAAGCACATCCCACACGGATATTGGGTGCCCAGTTGGTAATGTGGTATTAGCACCAGCTTTTATAGTTAACATAGCATCCCAAGGAAGTCCGTAATGCTTCAATACTCGTCGAATATTCTTTGAGTTGTTTATCGGAAGTACTGCCATGTAATCGCCTGCGCGATATGACATCCCGGTTGGGATTTTGAGTGATATGTGACGTTTCTCCGGTTCGCTTGGTGCTGTTAAAACCTTGTTGCTAAGAACAATTGACTCACGGACATCCTGTCGAAGCCTGGAGGACCGGGAACTAGTATCGATGTCAATTTCTAAGCCTACGTCTTCTCCGCGATCTACACTGCTGGTTAGTTTGGTCCAAAGACAGCTATCTTGCCATTCGTCAAAAGCCTCGAATATATCTCCAGCAGCAACATCGCCCAATCCGGTATTTCCGATTCTTGTTGCGCCATTGTTCTCAAATTCGGTGTCAAGCAATTTCGGAATCCGGTGGAAAGTCGATATCCAATCATCTAAAAGAATTGTTAATCATCATCCTTCACTTTGCCCGAGACTTTGACGGGCATAGAAATACTTACGATTTCCGCAGCCATAAACAGCATATTTGACGTCCTTAAGGCGGTCACTGCCTTTTAGGTTCTCCAGCCACTCAACGAAATGACTAGCATTATCAGGCGGCTGACCTTCATAACTCGAAGATATCAATATTACTGGCTGATTTTTAGGAATCTTGTCTACTGCAGCATCGAGAGGATCAACTCGAGCTTCATAGCCACGTCCGCTAGCTTCTCTGGCAAGACTTCGAGCAAGGGCTTCACAGGTTCCCGAGTTTGAACCATAAAAGATAGACATTGGCTGTTTTGGTTTTCCAGAATTGCTCAAAACCTTGGTGAGCTTTTGATCACTATCCGAGAGTCGTTCCTTGGAAGTATCGACATGCAGCATTTTTTCGAGATGAATAGGATCAATACCATGGCGGAGACTCGCGTGCATGAAGAATCCATTTGGCTTGATGGTCAATGTTTGTTTGATCAGCAAGTTGTAGCTTGGATCATCCATTCTGAAATTGAGGTTTTGTAACAGCATAGCGACGATCAGAATTGATTCTTGCCATGCGAAAGGCCTTCCGATGCACCCTCTCATACCATTGCCGAAAGGTTTCCAAGCGTTGGGCGGTAACTTTTTGAATGGTTCGTCCAACATTCGTTCAGGTTTGAAGGAGTTGACATCATCACCGTAAACAGTAGGATCACGATGGATGGCAGGAATAAGAGCAAGTATTGGTTGTCCCGGTTTGACTTCATACTTCCCACCGATGATTATGGGCGATTCAGTTGTATTAGGCAAAGGGTGTACTGTGAATGCGGGTGCTGTAGGGGTCAATCTCAATGTCTCTCGCAGACAAGCTTCAATGTATGGAAGCTTTGACATGTGATCAATTGTTATGGGTCCCTTGCCAACGACTTCATCAACTTCGCGTTGAACTGTCTGGTACGCTGAAGGACTCTTCAAAAGGTTATAGAAAAGGAATGAGAGCATTCCACTTGTCGTTTCATGGCCTGGGAAGATGATTAGAATGGTGACCAAATATACCAATGGGAAAGTAACATACCGGCAATGAGAAAGGTGATCATATTGTTCAAAATATTGGAATCTGGGAGACCTTTTCCAGTTTTTGGATCTCTACCATTGATCATGGCATTCAACAAATCTTTCTTATCGTTTGGATTTTCTCTTCGTTCAGCCAAAAGTTCCTTGGCTACGTTTTGAAGCAATTCGATATCCGAATCATATTTCGCCTGTGCTGAACGCATGAAATAATTGGCTATAGCAGGTCGTTGAGCTCTGGCACCGGACTCGGAAAGAAATCCAGTCATGGCATCGACGAAGGGATGCATTTCTTCATGATAAAAGCTATTAAAACGGGTCCCCATTGCGCATCTATTGTATCAGTTAGTTCGGTTGTTCTTGAAAAGCAAATATAAATAAGTAACTGACAAGGCAATTGAGTCCAATGTTAATCTTGTAAAGCCGTCTGTAACATCAATCTTTTCTTTTGAGCCAAATCTCGCCCATTTCATCACTAATTGTGAAGCAATATCATGCATTTCGTCGAACATAGATCGAATGGAGAGGGGCCCGAATGCTTTGTAAAGTTAGTTACAATATTTATCAGTCGCAAATCATTGTATTACACACCTGGCATTAACACTCGATGAGCTAATTCCCAATTCTCTTCCCCATGTCTTGCAGTGAAAAGGCCATCTCCAACACCATTTCGAACTTGCTCCAATCCTCCAGACACTATTTTTGTGAATCTCTTCTCGTCGCAGACCTCATTGAGGAGAGCTTGCGTGGATATGAACAGTTTTTCGACACCGCCGAGATTAAGCTTAAAGATGGGACCTGTTGAAAAAGAAAAGACATGCAATTAGCGACAACATTCTAAAGCAGGAGAAATTAATTCATTCTTACCATATATTTCTGCCAAACGCTCAAGACTAGCGATTGAATTGACGGGGTCAACATCCTGAACATTCCCTAGGAAAGGAAGGCCAGGAGGTCCAGGTATTTCTTCCAAGCCCGACATCATATTGAATCTTGCGACCTTAGATACTTAGATAGTATAAAATAAATGGCAGATTATGTCGAGAGTAAAACTCAAGTTAGATTAGTGAGTGATATGTTTGAAGAAGGTACTACCTAGGTAGTCAATATATACTTGGAACGATCACGGCACAACGGAACAAAGACCTCGTAACATGCGTAATATGACTGGGAGGACTGGCAAGCAAAACCATCACGCATTTCATCGTGCCGAATAGCGGATATTTTCATCTTAGTATCACTCACCGACGTACAAGTATTGTGCAAGTTTTCGTTGGACGTGAGAGTATGTTGTTCGATATGGGATGTGGCCGAGTGTGGCACAAAATTTGTATGATATTGGACGAGGGGCATGCAGTTGTACAGAAGGCTTAATGCGTTAATGAGTAGTAGCCACACTCACGGATATAGCATTGAAATCTGGTAAGGTTGTATGGATTCATGGAGACTTATATTTTATGGATCATGACAACAAATCCAGATCAGTTCTACTCTACCTACTCGAGCAAGAAATACATTTCGGTGTCTCCGTAGAAGATATGGAGCAATTCTTGGACCGAGGTTGATCGGTGCTTAGAGATAGACCGGCTCCGACATTTATCAATATCTCTTCAACGTATCCGTTATTGAATTCATACTTGAGCATATTCGATAAAATCTTCGAAATAATCATTATTCCAGTCTTATGAAGATAGGATAGATAAATGTATTCACCGGCATAGAAAAGAGTACCGGTATCTCGTTCAAGGAGGTGGGGTAATAATAATGCTCTAACCTTCGAAGTCTAGAAAAACATTTTGATATATCTCCAGCAGAACGCGTACTTGAGTATACACTTTTGAATTTACCCGAATACCGGTATATGAAAGTTCATGCAAGCCATCTCCATTACTTGCATTGCAAACGCTGAGGGTGGAAGCACTTGTGATGAATAAGGGCCATGCTTATTACTACGACACACCTTGGCTTGCATCAAAATTCTGAGAGATGATTGACTAGAATCATGGAGGTTGATAATCGAAGTCACCATTAAGTCAACTACCCCACATATGGACCACCCCCCCTTATGGACCACCCTAAAAACCCATACCGCCTAAGTAACCTACCCTCTTCAAAAATTCATAATTAAACAACCATTCAATCAATCGATTTCAAATTTTGATATACTATTATTTATATGATTTCAAAACTCCATATTGAAAACGATATTTCCGCAGCTTTAAATGCTATCGTGAATGGTGTTTCGATACGAAAAGCTGCTTTGGATTATGGGATTCCTCGCACTACACTTTATAATCGTATCAAAGGCCGCGTCTCCCATCAAAAAAGTCATCAGAGTATGCAAAAGATTGCCCCGATTCAGGAGAAACGTTTAGTGGAATGGATATTAGTACAGGAGAGCTTGGGTACTAGTCCTACCTATCAGCAAATTCGAGAAATTGGGGAACGTCTCTTTGATATAAAAGAACTCGATTCTACCCTTGGAAAACGATGGGTACGCAACTTTTTGGAGAGGAATCCAGAGATTAGAACCAAGAGACAATATAAGATCGACTCTGCCCGAGTTTCCGGTGCTTCACATGATATTATCGCGCCATGGTTTCGAAAACTCGATTTACCAGAGATTATCGATATAAAACCTGAAAATCGATATAATATAGACGAGGCTGGTATAATGGAGGGTCAGGGTCTCAATGGCCTAGTAGTAGGAAGCTCCCAGCATCGAAATATTCAGGAAAAAACAGCTTGGTTCAAGAGTTTGGATGTTTTTTATCGAGTGTGTTTCAGCGACAGGGCGAGCATTCATGTTACTCGTCATTTTTAAGGGAAAACATGTTCAACAACAATGGTTTCTTATTGATCTTGCTCTTTATAAGGATTGGAACTTTATTGCTATTGATAATGGGTGGATTACAGATACAACGGGGCTAGAATGGTTGGAACAGGTCTTTATATCTCAAACTACCCTCTTTGAGGCTGGCGATACACGATTACTTATATTGGATGGTTATGGAAGTTATGAAACTATACCCTTCATGTACAGATACTTCGAAAACAATATATATCTTCTATTCCTACCACTATATACCTTATATGTCCTATAACCATTAGATTTATAGCAAATATCGAGAAAGGCCTTAGTCCTAAAGCCTTAAGACAATTGTATATGGCATACATTACTAGTATAGCAGATTACGGATCAATCATTTGGTGGAGGGATCAAACCCATTTCAAGAATATGATACAATCATTACAAAACCTAGCCCTTTGCAAGATACTAGAAGTATTCAAAACAGCCCCAATCCTTCCAATGGAGGTAGAAATAGCTTTAAACCCTTCAAATATCAGGCAATATGTGTTCCATTTAGTTAAACTTTCGTCAAATCATTCAATTAATATCGAAAAAGGAATATTAACTCAATATCAAATTGATTTAGAAATAATCCCTACCCCCTAAAGAAAACTATACAAACCAATTCAACTCGATAGAATCAGAGAATCAATAAGTAAGGATTTTGATCCTTCCTTACTGAAAAAGATCATTCATTTCAACTTTCCCCTATAGAAAAAGGAAATCCTATTCAGAGTCAATATTAGTAATTCTTCAAAAGAAGATACTACTATTCTCTACAATATAATCTTTAAATATAGAGATAAGAATACTACTTATATATATACCGATACCTCTTCTATACTAAAAGGTATTAGCATTGATATAGGCATAGTTGCAATACAATCAAACGATCGAATCTTATATCAAAAACAAACCAATATTGGTGTGAACCAATTATTATATAATGGAGAACTTTGTGGAGTTATTAGAGCTATCGAATATGCAAGCTCAATTGCTCGACACGGCGATAAATTCAAAGTATATTCAGATAATCAGGCAGGCCTGTACTATTTGAAAACACTATCAGACCACCCAGGCCAGGCATATCAAATACGAGCAATCAAAGCAGCCAAGGCTATTAAAGCAAAAGGAGCAGAAATATCCTTGAATTAGGTCCCAGGGCATACATCGATGAAAGGGAACGAACTAGCAGATAAGCTAGCAAAGAAAGCAACTACCAAACCTTTCAACTTATATAAAACAAGCTGTAGTTTACTAGGTATGATAATCAAGCAGTATACTTCAAATCAATAGGTTTCTATCCTTAACCAATACAAACTCAGATCAAATCAATCCCTATTTATATATTCGAAGCTATTTCCATGGAAAATTGGGTCTAAAATCAAATTACCAAACAGAACTAATCGAAACACTGCTAGCGCGTACTTTCAGCTCAAAATAGGCTATGGATATATTAAATCCTATTTATATCGGTTTAAATTCACCAATAACAAATGTATATGTGGTAATATAGAGGCACCATAATACCTTTTTATTAGTTGTCCTATATATAAAACAGAAAGAAAGAAGATTTTCAAAAATATACTATTATCAAAGATTACTATACAATTCCTACTATATACAAAAATAGGAATTGAACTAGTTATCAAATTCATCAATACCATCAAAATTGCTACAAGGGCATGGCATTTAGCAAAAGCTCTTGAATAAAAAGAAATAGAGGAAGAAAGAGTAATGGAAGAGAAAGAAGTAGTAGTAGTAGCAATGGAAGAAGAAGAGGTAGTAGTGGAAGAAAGAGAGGGTAGAGGGGTAATCTTCTTATAACTCTTGATATTTATATTTTCTTATTATATGCAATGTGTATAATAAGCAGGCATTGGTCCCCAGCATTTGTTTTCACTTCCCCAAATCGAACATATTCCATTTTTGTAAAATAAAAAGTTATCTGCTAGCGCCTATAGGGTCTAGCCGTCCTATATAGTCTTAGACTGAAGATGGACGTAAATTAAATCAATCAATCAATCAATCAATCAATCGGAAGTGCAAAACTAATTTGACTAAAAGTTGTTTGTGGAGAAAGGATGAAAAGGTGGAAAGAGGAAGAGGTGATTGATGTTTATGAAGAAAAGATGAAAAGGGTGGAAAGGTGATCGACTCTTAAGCAAACTACTATAGGGGTCTGTGCGAAAGAGTGGAGATTTCGAAAGAAGGGGGGAGAGGTGGATATAGTATTATTACAAGGGTGATATTATGAAATTCTGACTTAAGCGAGATAATCTATCTAATCACATACTAAAACCTTACTAAGGTTCAGATCCGAATAACTTACTGTATCTTCGAAGTGTTGTCAGTGTACAATATTGCATTTAGATATGCTTGCTTGATGAATGTGTAGTATACGAAGTTCATTTGTTGTACCTCATGCATCTTTGGCTTCACAAACCCTGTAGAATTGAAAGCAAGGTTTTTCGTAGATGATGAGTAGATAATTGTTGGATTGTAAGACATCTTTGCCCTTAAAGACCCTGATATAAATAAAAACAGGGTTTTTCATAGGTGATAAGGGGTAGTAGCACCACTGGGGAGAAAACTCATTTAAGACAATGAGACAAATTTGTTTCGCCAACCTGGTTGACATAGATTAAAGTTATTGAATAACTTTAACCCTGGTTGGCATGAGCAAGAGTGAGTTGTAAGACATTTCTTGGTTGGCCTCACAGACCCTGGTAGATATCAAAGCAGGGTCTTTTATAGGTGAGCACTGAGGGTAGGTAATTAATTGTAAGACCTTTTCTGGCGATACGAGTAATTGTAGATGAGGAGAAGTTGTTGGATTGTAATTTTGGCCTCACAAGAACCCTAGTAGAATTGAAAGCAGGGTCATTCATTTATAGGTGAGAAGAGTCGGTGGGGTAAGTATTGTAAGACCTCTTTGGCTCTACTGCTGTTGCTACTGCTGTTGCATATGCAGTATAAACCATAAAAAGCAAACTTTTGAGAAGGGGTAAATGAGGTTGTAAGACATTTCTGGCCCTATAGACCCTGGTAGAATTGAAAGCATAGGTGAGGAAAGAGGGGTAGGTGAGTAATGGTGCAGTGGTGAGAGGTATGAATTTATAATGACTTTAATCATGTGATGATCTTATTGGCTAAACCCTTGCTGCATATAGGGTGATTTGTGCGTTTTACAATAATTATCCGCTGCAAATTGATACAGAGGGTTGCAGTCTGCAACCCTCCGTATCAGAGTCTCGAATAGAAGATGATTGCAGAACTTTGAAATTGTTAGTAACCAAATTAGTTCGATTCTGAATAAAAGATGAGAGAATAGAAGAATATTGTTGCATACAAACATCACAAAAGTTTTGAAATTTTGGATTGTAAATATGACCTGATGAGAAGAGGAGGTCCTTAAGACTTAAATAAAGAAATCTAGACTCTTGCTTACACAGTCTTAGTTTCTCAAATCATCTCTCTTGCTGCACCATTTTGAGTGAATTCTTCACCTTGGCAGTGGCAGTAGTGGCAGTGGCCCGGGACGAGCAACGAGGCTCTACAAGGCGGGTTATTAATAATATATGGACCATACTTCGCTAGAAAATCAATCCGCAACTCGGGAACTAAGAAGTGACTGTTGGACCCTTGTAGTTTACCCGTACTCATGCTCTGCAACTCGGGAGCTAAAAGAACTAGGTTACTCCTTTGTACCGTTGTGTAATATATGCTTGCAATTCATCCTTTCCGTATTTCCATATCCACACTCTCACTAATCTCTCTCTCCTCCTTCTATATACCCGTCTACCCGAGTTGCAGATATTCAGGTAGCATAATATTATTACTGTATATAACCCGCGAGTAATCTGTTAATGAGGTGGGATATTGAAAAATCCCAATAAATACTCATAAGTTATTTTGTCCACTTAATAACATAGGTTATAGTCTATTAATATAACGAGCTTTGATTCTGACCCCTCAGTGCCAGAAAAATAATTCGCCTTGCTGTCTATATTGCAGCTCGTCCTCCGGAGACTTATTAATTTGATAATTATGAATATTGAAAGGTTATTCTTAAATATCATCTTTTCAGATTTCATTTTATCAATTAATATGAAAAGTGTATTAATATTGAAACTCTTCATATGATTTTCAAAAAAAATGTTCAACTATTTAGTGTTTTACCCTTCGATACTGGAAAAACAATTCGCCTTGTTGTACTCTTCGAATCGTTTTTCAGGGCACCTCGGTTTCTATGTTGTAGTTCCAGCGCAGTATCCGCTGCAATACTAATTCAATTCAATATACATATTCACACTTCTCACCAACTTTCATTACCAATATAACCAAAAGGGTATAAAC